AAAAAATAAAATGAAATTCACCTGAATCAGAGACGACCTTCACTGTCTTGCTGTGATGGAAATTGCACAGGTTATTTGGGGAGAACCAGAACCACCTACTGTGGTCCATCGATTCGAGGGTTTTCCCAGCTTACAAGCCCCCCTTTGTGCACACATTTCGACAATGTTTTCGCTCATTTACCAATTTGCAGCGGCGCTGTTGGCCTGGTTGCGTGTTGTGTCTATTACCCACACCCGTTTTCCAATGATGATCGATGCGTCGACGGTGTCGGCCAGGAATTATGACCACCGATAGCGGCAGCACGCACATTTTCAGCCCGGCCCGGTGTCCTTGCCCTTGCTCGCATGAAAATTGGTAATATTCACTCAATTTATTGACTAATTGCATTTACACTAGCTAATGAAAACGCTCAAATGCCAAATAAAATGGCGAATTTATCAAATTCTCTCACGCGGCCGTCCTTCGTTTCGTTCGTTGGTTCGCCGGACAATGGACAACGGGTCGAATGAGTAATGGCAAATCAACGTAGCAATGTGGGCCGAACATTTGAAATGCTAATTTATAAAATGGTCTCCGCTGATTCGACAATGATAAAGAGACTCCAACCCGTGGCATGGGAGTGGTATAAGGTGTGAAAATGTAATTTGTGCGGAGATTAATGGAAAACTCGTTAGGCTGACTTTCAAAGCCGAGTTGAGTTGAGTTGAGTTTTTTGAGGCGCACCGATTTCGTTTCGTCACGAGAGAACTGTTTCGCTGCGACGCTGTCTCCTGTCTCCTGTCAAATGAATGTCGGCAAGTTTGTGTGGTCAGGATGATGGCTGCCTTCACCTGTCACCGAAATTTTCCTGCAGGTGACAGCCGGCGGATGAATGCAGGCTGAGAAGAAACTTGCACCACTGCCGCCTGACGGCAACTTTCCAATTAGAGGCTATAAAAAGTTTCCCCAGCTGAATGCTAAATAATTGAATTGTTTTGGCCATGTCCACATGGCTATCAACTGCTTGTTTTTGACTTTTCAAGAGCCTTTTGTTATTGCACACCACGTTATATTTTATGCACTTGCAGCCAGCTTAATTAGTGCGAATTCGAGAAGCTTTCCCTTTTGGTAAACTTTCATCAGTTGGCCAGTAATTGGTTCTTTGGCCTCGTCAGCATTAAAGTTTGTTTAAATTGAGAAGGGGAAAAAACTGGGGTGTTTCAAATAGAAAGGTGTGCTCCGGTTAACGTATTTCTGATTAACTAAAATTATTGTTACATAAAAACAAATATTTATATTTAAATGATGATAACACTTTACATTTATTGATTTATATTTAAAGAACGAAAACAAGTGATTATTTCGATATTCAGAAGAATACATTTTAATCTTTTATCGTAAATCTGAAATGGTTTAAAAAGTGCTATATTTGTAGATGTAGATACATCCTGTATTTATTTCCCAAAATGTTCTTTCATTCCCTTTATCCAACACTTAGTTTGGTCAGCTAATTAGAAAAGGACGGTCCTGATAGGGGACTCACGGGGAGGATATCCTGCACATTATGTTTTCTCTTTACCACCACAGATGAAGGTTGCTGGGTTGTTGGGTTGTTTGGTTGTTTGCAGCTCGCATAATCAAGGGCGGGGACAAAGGCAAACACGGAAACAACTTGTTGCAACTACAAGCCGAACAAAGTGGGTACACACATGTGAGTCCGACACCAGAGGACACAGGTCCTGCGGACCAGCTGGGGAAATGGTGAAATGGGGAAATGGGAGCTGCGTGCGGAAGTGGGCTGGAAGTGCGAAAGGACGCTCGGCTCAGATTATAAATTATTTATACTGTTTGCCAAACAGGCAAAGAGTTTCTACTCTGCCTGCGATATTTGTTCAGGTCCTTTAAAAGCAACTGGGATTTCACAACTAAATTCAATTTTTTTTTAACAATCTAGCAGGAAATTCATTTATCTTCACTCTTTAGAGGTTTTATTTTATTCTGAACTGTTTTTTGAAACTCTAAAACTACAAAATTGTTGTTTTATTTTCAAAAATATTATATAATTTTTATTTATTAAACATGCTTGAGATATAAAAACAATTAAACCAAGCAGATAGTACAAATTGATCTCAATTAAGGAAGCTTGACCTTTTTGACCAATCAAATACTGAACAAAATTCCATTATATTCCACATTTTTATGGCGCAAACACAGAAACTCGATCAAATGGACCCGCAGGAGCAGAGTCCAATACAACAATCGCTTTTACATATTGTAAACAGGACAACGCGCAATTGTTACTTGCACAAAGGACTAGCACACAGACACACACGCACACATACATAGAAGAGAAGGAAAACAATGCCGAGCAAACAAACAAATAGCGAATATGGAATGAGTTTTGGGTTGTGGGTGTAGGAAAATCGAAGGTGAGGCCAAAGGGAGAACATCACGCTGTGATAATTGAAATTCTGTCGCGCACACAGAACGAAAGATGCCGTTTCCGCTAAGCACTGGCAGTCAGACGTGGGCACGAGCTCAGTTTATGCCCCCCAAAACCCCCTCCACCACATCCTGTAAGAAGCCCCCACCCACACCAATACACACCACACCACACCATACCGCTAACCAAATCAAACTCGAGGACAACGGGCGCCTTGCGCCTGAAACAATGTAATTGAGTGGCGACAGGAACAACAGAAGCTGTGAACGAACAGCCCAAATGGGAAGCCTTTCATTCCATTCGGCGACTTTGTAGCCGGATCTCCCCGGTCTCTATTCCCAGTTCCCTGCTGCTGTTGCTGTTGCCCGGCTATTTTCAGTCCTATTTCTGTTTCCATGCGGACGATGGCGGCCTTTATTGTTCCGCTCAAGTGTCATAATTGTTTTCGTTTGCACTCTCCATTTATTTAAAGTGCCACTTCGTGAGGTCTTTTTTTCCGAATTCTGTGTAGCATTCCACGCTTAAATGTGTGCTTCCAACATTTTAAACCATAAAAAATACAGATACATTATGAACTGAGTACGAACTATAAACGGATTCGGGTAAACAGATTACCAAAAAAAACACCTCTTAGTAAAAAAAAACTAATGAATTTGCATTCCATACTTAAAAAACTCTTGATACCAGGGCCGGCGGAAGGTGTATACCGAGTGTTGAGCACTCCACACGCCAAATCTTAGCGGGTGTGGAATTCAACACCCCAAAATGCTTGACTTGTAGAAAAAAATTTATTTACATCCATTATTATCAGTTGAATGTATGATTCAAAGCTGTTTCTCCGGCCCTGCATATAGAGTATATCGAAGAAAAACGAAGAGAAATCCCGCCTTTACCACGGCCCAATTAAATCAGTTTCTATTTAAATAGATAGATAGTAACTCTCCAAATACTTGCCAAGTTAAGCATTTTCCAACTTAATGTAACAACTACTTAAATAATTATGAGATTATCATAAATAAATCTTTTCAGATTGGTACTTACTCAGTTAGCTCCTCGATCTGCACTGCAATCTTTCGTCTTCTTGAAGTAAGATAATCACCGCAACCACTTTATTCGCAACATTTACACTTAACACTTTACCCTGAAATGAAATAAAAAACCAAACAAAATATAATAAATAATTTGTTACAAATAATAATAGTTAGAATTATTTTGTTAGTAAAAAAGGTATTTACCTCTTTGGGTTTTTTATTCACTGCATCTTGAAGTTCACTCCAAGCAGAAAGGAATAGTCATCACCTGTAATAAAAAGAAAATTTGAAAATATGTATTAGTTTAATTATTTTATACAAATCGGTTGTTTAAAAAATACATACCCCAATGAGGTGATGCACTGCATCCTGGAGTGGAGTTCAATAGAAGATCACGCCATTCATAATTGATCCTGCAGCCTGTTGTCCAGTCCATTTATGTGGTGTCAGCATACTATATATCTCCGGTAACCGCATTCTTACAACTATTCTTACTATATATATTTATATTATATGTCCCTACTTGTTTACAATTATTAATTGTGTTTGATTTTCACGTACTTCAAGTTCAATATTTGATCAAATTTACCTTTAAAATTTCTTTCATGTTCTTGAAAACTTTCAGATCTTTATCTGTTGCTTTTAGTTTCTTTGTCAAAATATTTATGATTTCTTAAAATATATAACTTAATTATTTATTGTCTAAAGGATGTACTCACTGCGTAATAACCTTGGTGCAGTGCATCCTGATGTCGAACTTCAAGTTACAAGTTTGATGGTGTCACCAATTATTTTCTGCAATCAGCCAAATACACAACCAAAAACCTGAAAAAAAATATTAAAAAAATTGAATTAATTAACTGAATTTTTTTTACAAAAGCCACGTCATCACATAATTAAAAAAAAACTGCAACTCACCTTTTCAGGTTTGGATGCCCTGCATCCTGGAGTCCACTACATGCAGGAAGGGATCGGGCACCTTTAAGTTCATGCCAAGTCAGGTCATGATGCAGTGCATCCTAGGAGAAGTCGACCCATGATGCACTGCATCCGGGAGTGGACTCCAGTAGGAGGAGTCGACCCAAGATGCACTGCATCCGGGAGTGGACTCCAATAGGAGGAGTTGGCCAGATACTCTCTCCCACTCTGGAACCACGTCACTAACACACACGCACACACACACACTTCCAGAGACCGGAAAAAGTTTCTTAGAGAAACTGCCGGTCATCCCGGAGAACTGAGAAATTGGCCAAAATCAAGGGGTATCCCACTACGAATCAGCCAGAACCACTTGGGAATTATAGGTGCAAGAAAACAAAAAAAATAATTAATTATCATTGTCGCTGACGTGGCCATATTAATTTAATTAACATTTAGTTAACATTACATTTACATTATATTAAATTAACATTATTTTAACATTAAATTAACATTATATTAATACTAAATGGATTTTAATTAACATTTTACTTTTAAAATAGTTTTTTTTACCTGTTGCATTTTGATTGATTGGTGTTGTATTCTAATTATTACTGACTCAAATGTTTATCAAGTTTATAAAATATTTGTACATTACCTTTGTTATCCAAGCATAATTAAACCAAATTTCTACTCCACCCCTGGAATTCTTATCAGCTGTTTACCGGCTAACTGTTTGGTTTTGTTTACCATCTGTTGATCTTTAAATTTAAAAATGCAAAGATTTCTAAGTGTATTTAACCAGCAAAAATGCAAAGTGATCGGCATGATACACGTGGATGCGCTTCCGGGTGAGCCAAGCTCTGAAAAATTATAAACCAATTCCATTTAATTAACTACAATCAGGAACACCGCAATACAACGGCAACTGGAAACAAACGATTGAGAAGGCCATTTACGAGGCCAATCTATACAAGAAACATCAACTGGTGGGTAACGAATAGTTCTCAATTCCCTCAAATTTCCTGTATTTGGCTTACAGGATGCCGTGCTCATAGAGAACATGCACGATATTCCATATGTCCCAGAGCGTCTTCTGGGAGCCGAAATTGTGGCTTGCATGACGCGACTGGGGCAGGCAGTGCGTGAAGTGATGCCCAGGGAAACTCCGTGTGGAGTCCAAGTCCTGGCCTGCGGCAACAAACAGGCACTGGCCATTGCAAAAGCCAGTCAACTGCAGTTTATACGCAGCGAGGGGTTCGTTTTCGGGCACGTGGCGGATGAGGGTTACACGGATGCCTGCGCAGGCGACTTACTGAGGTATCGGAAGTTCATCGATGCGGAGGATGTGCTCATCTTCACGGATCTGAAGAAGAAACACAGCTCACATGCCATAACGGCGGATGTCAGTCTCTTGGAAACCGCCCATGCGGCGGAGTTCTTCCTCACCGATGGCATCATTATCACAGGAACTGCCACCGGTCATGCTGCCAGTCCCGAGGATCTACAACAGTTGGCCGGCAAGGTACAAGTTCCACTAATAATAGGTTCCGGGGTGACCAAGCATAACGTTGGTAGCTACTTTAAGGATGCACAGGCAGTCATAATTGGGTCGCATTTTAAGCAAAATGGCAACTGGCTGGAGGAGATTAGTGAACAAGCTGTCGACGACTTCATGAAAAAGATATGTCATCTAAGATCGTCGTGATTATAATTGTAAATGATTTTATTCATGTTGTAAATGTTGAATGATGAATACGATTGAGTTTGAGTCATCTAGTTCTAGAATAGATTGGCAAAAAAATCATAGATTCGCTCACGCAATGATGTGGGCTTTTGAGTGGAAACCACGTCGTTGGAGAATGCAAAGGGTTTCTGGTCAAGAGCCGGAGACACTGCATCCAAGGTGTCGTCGAACTTAACGCGCTTCTTGTGCGGCGGTGAGCAGATCTCCTCTTGGCTCCTTAAATGAGCGGGAAACATGTTCTCACCGTTGAACAGATCCTCACGCTTAACAAATGTTGGTATAGTGTTGTCCACGTTGTGAGCTCGGAAGTAGGACTTGGAGTCCGAGAAGCGACTGGCAAACCCGTAGCTGGGATCATGATCATTGGGCACTGGCACGTTGCTTCGCTTAAGGATTCCTCTCACATTTGCTACCTTGTCACCAGTGGCAATCTTTTTGTATAATTTAGAAATGCGATTCTCCTTGCAGGCCAACTCCTCAGCTTTTCCTGGCTGGTGACGCATCTGCACTGAGTTAGGAAGAGGAGGAGGAGGTGGTGGTGCAACACGTTTCACTGATGTGGAGGAACTTGGCTTTCCCATGAGATTTGAACTTTGAACCTTTAAAACTCCATTCGGCACCTTTCGCATTCGTGGAAAGCAAGCACTTTCCTCGGTTTCTTCCTCAGAATCCGTACTGCGATTCTTGTTGCGAAAAACACTCTCATAATCCTGCAATTCAATGAACTTAATAAGCTTAACCTTTAAATAAATTTTTGGTTACTCACGCATTTGCGCTTGTTGGGACTCAGTACATAATCAGCGCCAAACTTTTTCATGTCCTTTTTGCGTATGGGAGTCCTTTTACTCGAATCCTTTCGCAGAGTTTTGCGGCACTGTACATGCAGATCTATGGCATCGCGGATGAAGCCAACCCAAGTGCGCGACAGCTGTACATCGCCGCTGCCAAAAATAATGCCATCGCTTTGGCAAGTAAGCTTAAAGTTGCCCGGCAGCATTTCATAGACTTTACATTTTTTCAAGGGAAAAATACAGCAACACTCCAGGGAGTTCTCCACGACGGTATTGGGCGCCCGTTCCTTGATCATCTTGCAGTACATAAAGATGTCAGACATGAGCACACAGTAACGCTTGATTTCCGTGCCCTTGTGGGTGATCTTCTGGAGAACGCCCTCCTTTATGACGCGACGCGAGGGCTTCACAATATTGGGTGTGCGATTTACCAGGGAGTTCTGCAAATGAATCAAGTACTGGGTGATTTCCTGCTCCTCTACGCAGGTGTTTATGTGACTGGCAGTTGCCTCAATTTCCTTGACTGACTCTGAAAGAATATGGTTATCAAATAACAAACCGAATAGCGAGCCTTCTTACTTCTTACCCTTCAATAGTTTGTAATCCGCATCGGCTGGGCTTGTGTACAGCAAAACTTGTTCCAAAAGAAGCTTATACCTCGGAATACGTTGAATGGGCACAATCATTAGAGAATTAAGCTTACGCTGCACCTCAGGACGACTTTCCGTCTGTTCTAAAAATTTTCTGAACACCGGATTCTTGCTGATCAAGTCCTGGATGATAAAAAGGGCCCCGCGATAGTCAAAGGCGTACACCGAATATAGCTTAAAGAAGGGAGCCATTTTTAGGAAGGCATGAGCCACATTTTCCATGTTCGCCTCCAGTTCCCGCAGAAATTCTCCATTCAAATTATGGATCATCTCGATCTGGCCAAATAGCAGCGTGTGATTGGAGCAATCGATGATAGCCTGCTCTTTAAGGGGCCTCACAAAGAAGTTCATCAGCAGCTCCAGCTGCTCCAAATAGGACTTCTCGGATGATATTATCTCCTGTATGGCCTGTCGGCGAAATCCCAGGCGTTTCCCAGACTCTGGATTGGGTGATCCAATGGGACTGCTGTTGTTGCTGTCCAGCATTGAGCAAACTGCAGGAATAAGTCACAATTAGTCATGAACCAGATGTTCAGGTGATGCCTATGATTTTGCTCACCTTTCCGACGCGACTTGGCGGTTAGGAGGTTCCTCTCCTGTAGCACTTGTCTCAGTTCCCGGCTGAAGCTGAGAGGTGTTTGAGGCGATGGGATAAAGCCATTTCCGTATCCTTTCTGCCTGGGCGTAAACATTTTCCAAAAAATTTTCGACTACGAAGAGCGAAATGTGAAAAGGACGCCACACCTGCTCATTTAAACGATGCCCGCTTCTTCAGTGTGACCGCATTGCAGTAGCAACCGAAAGCGAGGGCATTGTATAATACAGTATTTCCCTAAGTGTGGGTCGCGACCCACTGGTGGGTCGCAGGTAGATTTTTGGTGGGTACTAAATGCCATATAGATCTTTAAATTTTTTGTGTAGATGGGTCGCGGTTTCGACAAGTTTGGGAAACACTGGTATGATAAGTACAAGGTAGTCTCGTCGGCTCCGTCTTTTCCCTATGGCGCACTACAACGAGTGCGAGTGAGAGGTTGTTTTCCCGTAAGTGCGAAAGAAACAGAAATACAGTGTGTTGTTTAACCCTTATGCTGTGCATTGGGTTGAAAATTCGGTGTTGTCCACGTCCACATTGCCATTGCTCGAAAACAATTCAGTGGATTTTTTGATAAATTAAGTATAAAAACTATAATAAATTAAATTAAATTAAGGGAAAACATGAAGAAAACACGGACTACAGTAGACAGAGAAGGCTTACTAATGATCACATTTCTGAAACAAAGAACTAAACATTTGACAATTTGTACTGTTATTATTATTTATTATTTTTAGTTGATTATTTTAGATTTGTCATATCTGTAATATATTTTCTTAATCTATTCTTAAATTGAAGCAGAGTCGGATGTTCATGAAGTCCACCCTTAGACTGCATGGCGCCAAAAAAAATTTTCAACTATGTCTAGGTTAAGGCGACTAGTTGAAATAAACTCCATTCCGTACTTCTCCCACAAATAGGCAAATAATTCGTCTAGAGACTTATTGTTGACCAAAATGCCTTTTTGAAAGGGAAGCTTGTAAGATTCTCCAGCTATCTCCGTACGCATAATCTGAGATATTTTGGCCAAAACGTCTCTTTGGACAACGAGGTCTTTGCCATAGGGGGGCGGTGTTTTGGTGGACTTTAATTTAGAAAACTTGGAGTTGAAAACGTCGAACCAATCATTCACAACTTTGAAAAGGTCGGCGGTTTCGCACGCGTTGTCTACATCAAGTCCCAACGAATAGCATTGTCTGATGGAGCTTGCGGTTTTTTTCGAAAACAATTGTGTTGCCAATTTTACCTCCTGCTTAGCGATTGAGTTAACATTTATGTGATCTTGTGTAATTTTAAATAATATTGACGAATCAGATCCAGCACAGTGATTAATAGCCTGTTGGACTGTCTCCTTAGTCAATTTATTTCCATTAATACACAATCCAGATTCGATGTAGTGATTTCGTATCAACTTAATTAAGTGAGTGGTATCGGAAAACACATATATTTTTAAATTATCATCTGCTGGATGACTAAACCAGGTCTTGGCTGAAATAAAAAATTATTAACAAGGATTGTGTTATTTTTTTTAGAAACTTACTCTCCGAAATGCCAAGCTCACTCCATAGCCTTTGATTGCCAGCACCCAAATCAGTTACAACTGCAACTACAGGGTAGCCTTTTTGGTGTAGTTTTTTTATGATTTTATGCAGAGTATCTACGTCCATTTGAGCGTTTAAATCAAAATATACTGGCTGCTTCCACGATTTTTTTAGGCCACGAACTATGGCCAGTTGCACATAGTTTTTCGGCTCATCAACAGTATCTGATGAGCTATAGTACTCGAAAGCAGCAGCAACCTTTATTTCGTCAAAAGCCAAGACGCAAAGCTTGTCGACTTCGGACATCTGTTCGTCTTCCATAAGATCGAACACTACATCAAGGGTACCGGGATCGATTTTAACTTCGGCCAACCATCTATACAAAGTAGCTCGACTCGGATAGGGAAAGCCTTTTTTGTACAAATGATTATAAGCCTGAGGTCCAGCGGCATGGAGACATATAGCAGCCGACAAGTCTGCTGTGTTAAAAATCGCTCTTTGTCCTTCATTTTTTAAAATTTTAACTTGTGTCTCAGTGAAGATCTTGCCTAAATAGTTCTCCAATTTCCTGTACTCTTTAAGCTGCTGACGTAGATTCTGAATTTCCTTTTCCATAGAACGGATTTTTTTCTTCAGTTCCTGGTTTTCTACAGCCATTGGATCAGTTAATTCTTCGTCCCTGAATTAGAAATGGATTATTGTTTGCATAAAAGCATATGTCATCTAGTCTAAATATGTAAACACAATTTAGCTTACTGTGTTTGTGCACTGGAATCCGAATACCATAATTTAACCGTTTTTGTCTTAGGTTCTTCTTCGTTCCTTTGGGGAACAGCATCAGCGTTGAGTCGCTTTCTTTTGTATATCATTCCTTTTTTTGGCGCCGTCTTCCACTGAGTAGCGTCGAAATGGGTATCGCATATTTTGGCGTGTTTAGTCAGGCTGCACTGAAGAATATTTTCCCACAATTTTCTTCTTGTGTCACAAGTTGGGATTTTCATTAAATTAACACCTTCCACATTCCTTTTGCAATAGCTACAATACTTCATTTTTTTTGCACACAAGGGTTAACGTTGAGAAAAAAATCGTCCGCACACAACCTATCACTTCAAAAATCCGAGCGCACTGAGCAATAGGGGAAAAAAACCCGAACAATAGCCGACAAGACTACCTTGTATTTACTACACCATGGGCCTGGGAAGTTTTATGAATTGCAAAACATGTTACGATTTAGATAAATATTTTAATTGCATTTTAACTGTACGAAACCTGTAAATAATAAAAATGGTAGGAAATAACTGGAACAAACTTATTTAATCAACAACTTTTGTAGACTGTGTTCTAGTAGGCAGCTGGCATTTTCATTCTTTTACCCCATGGTCACATTGTAACAATTATTTATTTTTATACGTGGTTCGTGGCCCGTTTAGCCAATATTTTAAATGTTGTTTTAGCTATTGCTGCACCAAAATGCATGCAAAGCTTAGCGAAATGGAGCTGCGCATCGTAGCCCGACTCAACGAAGAGATTGGAAAGGATGCCAGCCGGCTTCACCGGGCCAATCACCTAGTTAGTCACTACAAGGAGCGCCTTGAAGTCCTATCCCAAACAGTACGGCAATTAACTTTGTCGAGTCTATATATTTTAAAACCATTATCTTTTAGCTGGACTATGAGGATCCCCAGAATGTGTCCTGCTATAAATCCGCCTTCCAGTGCCAGCAACAAGTTTGCGAAAGCATCGACTTCGAGCTGGAAAAGTTGGCCCAGTTTGCAGCCAAGCTTAAAAAGAAACTCAAGGAGTGTCAGCCAGCCCTGGAAGGCGTAGCCGAGGACTTGGACAAAGTTCGGCAGCTGCAGCGTTTGACGCAGTACCTCCGACTCGTTCAGGACATCCAGGAGATCAGCGCCGCCTTGGAAAATGCGATTAATGGCAAGGACGAGGCCAAGTTGGTCAATATCTACCTTACCCTCTACGAGGGCAACGACTGCGAGCACAGCGTGGTGGGTCGTCTGCAGGCCGTAAAGGCCCAGTCCTTGAAGTCCTTTGCCGAACGCACTGCCATCTACTGGCACAAGCAGCTCCTTAAGCGACTTTCCAGCGAATTCGAGGCTGTGCTGAAGAGTATGCGCTGGGCGCATCTGGAACAGCAGGCCCTAAACTATTCACCATCCAGAGATACTGCCAAGGCCCAGCTGCTGGCCGAATACATGTTTTTAATCAAATCTCCAGCCGAAGAGCATGCGCCGCTGCTCAGCATCACGCCCAGCATCGTGTGTCAGCCCATCAACCAGGTGGTGCAACTCCTTTTGGCGCCCTATCGCCAACGATTCACATTTCACTTCACAGGCACCAGACAGACAAACCGATTGGACAAGCCCGAGTGGTTCTACACACAGATTCTCAACTGGGGCAAGGAGACGCATTTCTTTGTGGGCAAAACATTCCAGCCATCGGCCATAAAAGCGGGAAAGCTGGACTATAATCTCAGGGTGAGTACTGATTGGCTTACAATGTCTTCAACTATCTTTATTATTCTTCTCCCATAGCTGGAGTTCATGCGAGGTTTGGTGCAGTTAACCATTGAGAAGTTGGCGGTGGACATAGAGCAAATTGCCCAGGACGAGATCCTTTTTGCCCATCTGCTCGATGAGACGCTGGCCTTTGAATCAGAACTACGAGAAACATTTGGTTACCCAGCGAGTTTTCCCAGCGCCATCTCCGTAATCACGCAGCCCATATATTTGCTTCGCTGGATTTCACTGGAAGAACGATGTAAGATAAGGTCACTGTCTCCCATTACATTTAATTAATTATTAAACTTTACTTAGTTTGTGCGGAAAAAATGGATGACATACTGCAGGCAGAAGCCCCATTTCAGTTAATTGACCCCAACACATTCGAGGACGATCTGAAGATCCCGAGGTGTGCAGATCAGTTCATGCGATTGCTGGACGCCATAAAGGATCGCTACTATGGTCTAGTTCAACCCGGCCACCAACTGCAGTTCCTGCAGCTTCAACTAGAATTAATCGATAGCTTCCGTCGACGACTGGTGCAATTACACAGCAGTGGAGCGGTGCCGAGCATTCCCGTTCTAAACGCCATCAACTATTTGGTGATGGTGCTGCGCGAGTGGGGCGAGAATGTCCACTATCTGCACCTACATGCGGCACTTGCCGGTCCAAATGCACCAGAGATCAACTCAGTGTTCGAGCATGCAGTTGCGGAATTGGAGCATTGGGCCAGGCAACTAATGCGAAATCTCGCCACGAAGGCTACCAACGAGATGAAGGCGAAATCTATGAGCTATCGCCACGACGCTTGGCCCACAATGCCGGAGCAGAACAGCCGGGAGCCGTTTATTCTTTCGCCGAGCGGCGGCGAAATGTTCCAGGTGTTGGTTACCCTGCTCCACAATCTGGAGCGTGAACTTTCCGCTAATCTGTTTAACCAAACGCTACGCTTGATAGCCCATCAAATCGATGACTTCATGCTCGAGAGCATGGTAATGAACACGAAGTTCGCACCTGCGGGGGCAGCGCAATTCAATTACGATATGACGCGCAATTTATTCGCACTCTTTGGACAGTATACGCGACGCCCAGAGCTACTTTTCAAAAGGTGAGTCATCCTTAAATATGCAATAATGCACAATAAACATAAATCTGACACCTTTCACATTCAATTCGCCAGAATTCACGATGCCAGCAAATTGTTGACGGCGGCAAGGGGAACGGCTTTGTTACTGCTGGAAACGCTGCGCAGTAACCAATCGGTGGAAGAGAAAACGAAACCTCTGAGGGAATTGAAAGTGCTAAGTCTGGATAGCAAGCAGTGCATTGAGGTTTTGGAGCGGAGGACGGACATAAAAATGTTTTAAACCAATGGAAAGTTGCAACGTAGATAATAATTTTGTTTTACCTAATAATTCTTGTTTCAAACGGGTCTTAAGAGTTTTTGCAAATATATGATTTGTTTACCTACATTTTGCAAAAGAAAATTGATTTCAATCTAACTGAATATTGTATAAAAAATAAATTGGTTTCCTAATTCAAATTATTTTGAAGTATATAATAATTTGAAGTAATTTACATAATTTTTATTTGCAAGTAAGGCATATATATAAACTTAGTTGTCGAAACGGAGAATTAGCTAGTTTGTATTACAACACCAGGACATATTTTTGAACTCGTAAAAATGCTAGTAACGGCCAACTTGTATGAATGAGATTACATTTCGAGTAACATATACATATATTTACAATTTAATTTCGAATTTTCGCCCGGGGCGCAGGAGTCTTTAATTAGTTGTTGTTGCTATGAAACATTTACTTGATTTTAGGATTTGATGTTTAGTTTAATATGTAAAACGTTGACACAAAAACATGCGGTAACTTTAATAATAAATTTCTCTAAAAATACATAGCGTAAAATAGTATATAAACCGGCCTGATCGGGCTCGAATCGCAGATAGCGCATTTGACACATCAATACTGATTCACGGCTGATCAGGGCGTGTTGTATATAACCCCATCGTCGGCTGACAAACAATTGCAGTTAGTAAATACCAATTTGCGACTCGAGACGCACATCACACATCATCATCACATGGATCAAGATCATGGCGCGCTGCCCGCAGAGAATAACATTATGTCTACACTAAATAACCGATAATAATCCAATCTGCGGGTTCGTTCGCCTTTGTATCCCCTTCTATTCAAAGTTCTGATAATTCTCGGCGCTGACGAACTGCGCCCGCTGTTGGGGCGACATGTTGAGGTTGCCGCGATGCTTGTTGTTGTACGCCCAGATGATACCAGTGGCGATCAGGGCAATAGTCAGCCAGCCCATGAAGAATAGCTGCAACCACATGTGCTCGCCGTTGCTGTTATCCGAGATGATTCCAGCCAGGATGGTGATGACGGCCAGGCCGAGATTTTGGATCGACTGGCAGAAACCGTAGGCTGTTCCTAGCTGGTATTCCGGAATGATAAGGGCCACCAGGGGCCACAAACTAGCGGCCAGCATGGAGTAGGAGAGTCCCATGACGGTCATCCCCACGTAGGGCGTAAGCTGTGTGAACGTAAGCAGGGCGTGGGCTCCAATAGTGGTCAGCGTGGCTGTGAACACCCAGGACACATTCTTGCCCACCTTGTCGATAATAAATCCAAAGACGGGCGACGATACGGCTGCAATAAGATACACCAGCGAGTCTACGGTGTTGGCCTCCGCCGGAGTATAACCGAAGCGATCAACGAAGAATTTCTGTCCCAGGGCGATGAATGGAAAGATAGCCACGTAGTACGCCACGCAAATAATGGAAACCATCCAAAACGGCGGCTTAAAGGTGAAAACGTCCGTCAGTTTGGGAACCTGTCCGGCTGGGTTGTTGTTCCGCTGCAAAATCCTCTCGGCACGCTTGTCCATCCAGCCAAGCACAAGCGCACAGATCATAGACATCACACAGGTGAGTGTGGCCAGCAGCAGGACGACACCCAGGGCGGTGTGTCCCTGGTAGAAATTGCTGACATAGTCGTAGATGGGCTGCATCACCCAAAAGTTGACAGTGCTTCCGAAACGGGCCACCGACAGCTGCAGGCCGAAGACCATGTTCAGTTCCTTTCCCTTGAACCAGAGTACTGCATAGCTGTTCTGGGCCACCGCAAGCGACTCGGCTCCAATGCCAAAGATGAACCGACCCATGATCATCATCCAGAAGGTATCCAGTATGCCGCCGCAGGCGAAAATCAGTTGACCCACCAGCAGGACCAGCATGTAGATTATCGTTCCCAATCGGATGCCAAACAGTCGATCGATGAGGAATCCTCCAACGAAGCACAGGACGACATTTGGCCAGGAGTAAATGGAGTAGATAAGCGTGAACTGAGTGGAGGTCAGGTCAAGATCTCTTTTGAAGACGTTCTGCAGGGCTCCGGGATTGTCGTAACAAAAGTACGAGCCGAATCCCAGAAGGCACATGAACACCAGCGCCATGAAGCGGTGGCCCGTGCCTGCAGGATTGCAGCATCCGCCGGAGGGCAGACTCAACTCATTGTCCCGCCGACCGCCACGCCCACCAACCGACGATGTTTCCTCCTCCGCCGGATGCGACACCTCCTCGTTGTCCACGATACGTTCCTCGTCCTCGCGAGCCATCTTTTCCCGACGCTGGCTTAATCCGTACTGACCAGTGATAGGGGCGTTTTCGAAAAAATACGATTACTCAGGCTGCCGATTTCCGGCTAAAGTTTTTATGTCTCTGTTTCGACGCCGTTTCTGCAAAATAATTGTATCAATATCTGCAAACGGGCGAGTTGAACTCTTCTGCTTTGTCTTCGCTTATCTCGCTGCTTTTGTTTTTGTTTACTGTACCCGCACTAGTACCCTTTGTCTAACGATAGTTGTTATTGCCTGCGTAGATTGCACTTGTGTTGGTAGCTGCACTCATCCGTTATCAGTTTTTACACTCCAGTTACAGCTGAAACTTGATCTGTTATGCAAATTCCCAGTGACGTGTGCACCCGCACTTTATTGAATCGCGAATGAAACTAAATTGTTTTCTCTGCCTAATTAGCGTTAATTACGCATATACACGGACAGGGTTGCCATATCGCTTTAAAGCAGAGTTGTCGATGCTTATACAGGTGCATGCAACCAGCTGGTCAACGATAACGATAAAAAAAAAAAAGTTGGGGATACCCTTAATATTAATAACGAATGTTTACCAATTGAATATATACAATATACATTGGGAGAAATTTAATTAGATATTTTATTTGTTTTAAATTTCGTAGTTTCTACATTTTAGATAACCAATCAGCTTGTTTAAACAAGCTTCCCAGTTGTTTTGATTAATTTTGGCAATTAATGGCAACCCTAATCGAGCAACGCCGAGTTTCAGCATGTTTTCTTAATTTTACCGGGCAAAATGTACTTAATTATATAATCTAGGGCCTTTGCAGCGATGGATCCCATAGATATCAACAAGCGGAAGCCCAGACGCACACACGGCACACCTTCCTATACGTACCGCAATCGATTTGCCTATGCCTTGCTAGCCGCTGGATCTGTGCTATTCGGGATTTGGAGGCAAGTACCATATAGAAGTTTCTTATAAAACTAAATTTTATGTATTTACCTTTGTAGTCTTACGCCCATACAACGCATTGCAAACGAAAAATTCTGCCAGGCTGTGGCTGAAACGGAAGAGGAGCGCGATAGAAAGGGACTGTTCCAGTTTGCCGCTCCCAGAACTTCGAAATTTATTAGGGAGGCCATTGAGGAAAGTGAAGATCAAAGAAATAAATAATGGATCGCAAGACGCGGCGGGCAAACTTTAAGAACCTTCAGCCTCGGTAATTAAAATTAATTTAATTAAAATTTATTTGTTGATCAATAAAATGTATTTAGTAATCTAATCAAACACTTGGCTTTCCTTCTATCCGAAGATCAACGCGGAGCACAAAAACACCAACTAATATCCAATCACTATCCGACTTTTTTGATGCCCCCGAGGAAGCTGGGGAGGATCCACCACCGGCAATTCCTGTGGACCTCGATCCCCCAGCAACCAAAATCAAACCTATACGAACCAGCAATGTGTTCGAAAAACCTGGTCCCAAGCCAAAAAAGGCACCAAAACTCAAGAAAATCAGTGGCTCTGCGACAAGTAGTTCCCGTCGAGGATGCGGGAAGAGCAAACAGCAGCCAAGCATCAGCAACTTCCTGCGTAATGAGCAGATCTTCGCCGAAGTTACAGCGCAGCACTGTATGGCGGACAATTTTAGTCCGGATGACATTGAAATGGCGCTGGCGCTATCCAAGTCCGAGGCTGATAAGCTGGGACGCTTGCGTCTGAACAGCGAGGATGATGCCGTAGTTGACCTTATGGCTGATGAAGGGGAATCCACGGAGAGAGTACGGCTCAAACTTCAAAAATACGGCTTTCGCACAGCCGCCAAGGAAGGTGAGACATTAAAATTTATTCTTGTTTGCAATACCTTTTTGTAAACACATAGTTTAAAAAAATATTTATTTGTGACTTTTGAATTGAAAACTATTAAAAATGGTTTATTATTATTTTTAAATCAGATTACAAATCCCTGGCTGTCCTGCCAGTGGTATCTGGAAAAGGAGGTAGACGTGGTAAATGGGCCAATAAATTCACTGCCCTAACCTTACGCAATCCGGAAGTGCAACAGAAGAAACTGGAGGAGAAAGTGTCCAAATTAATGGCCCAACAAGTGCGTACCAAGGACCTTTCGGAAGAGGAATGCATTATGCGGCCTTATGAAGTCATTAGTTCTTACCTTGACGAACTTCGAGTTAAAAGTGAATCTCAAATCCTTCGGGAACCAAGTGAAGGGGCCATCGAAGATTTCAGCGATTACTACGTTACCGATTTAATTGAAGTTAGTAAGACGCCTGCAAACCACCTTCTCAAGAATTGGGCTGCCATACAAGGAAGGGATTTATCACCAGAACGTGAAACCTCAAAAACCCGCCAACTAAAACAAAAACTCGATCTCGCCTACGCCGAGTTGGAAAATCATTTTGGAGATCAAAAGAAGTTGGAGCAGCAGGTGGTTGCTGAGCTGGATGAGTTGGAAAAGCTTGTAGCGGAAAATATGATCGAGTATGACTCGAAAGTGGCTGATGATATAGAAAAGGAAATACCTTCGACTAGCAGCAGTCCGTCTAAGGAACCACCAGATAAGCGACCAAAAATGACTGCCGATGATAAAGAAAACCCGCAACCAATTGCACCGCCAGCCAGTTTAAGCATTCCCACCCAGATAACTCGATGCATTTCACCCGACCTCTTTGCCGATTCTGAAGACGAGCTGGATACTGCATCGACCCTTATACCTAACGAAGCCAAGGATGTTAAGAATTTTTCCATGAAGGTCTATAAAAATGTTAGCATATGTGATCGATCCTCCCCGGCGCGAGAAATAGCAATACAACTCAGCAGTGATGAACAAACTCAAATAACAACCTATGAAGTGTTTTCAAGTTCCAGTGATGAAGGTGAGAATGTTAAAATTTGCAGGCGTTCATAAGCTAAACAACATTTTAATTTACTTCTAGTAAAGACTGTTTCCAAAGCTACAGAGAAGAATATAAATTTGGAGAGTAAGTTATTAAAAGCAATTTTAATAAAGGAAATCTTATTAATATTTTGTTTTCTAGATAAACCTGTTGAGGAATTTATTGATCTTACACAAGAGTTCGATACGCCAGATTTAATTGAGCCAGACGAGAAAACTCCAAGCTTATTAGCACCATCTGAATCTTATTCTAATGTTGAAAAGTTATCTGTCGACCTGCTGCTTGATTCCAGTTCACAAGAAGGAAGTTGTTCGATCTCCAAAGAATTGCACTTAAAGTATGCAGAGCTTGCGAAATCTCCCTTATGGACAGCTGAAGGAAATGAGGAAGGAGAAGACATTGTCTTGAACATTCCGAGTTCCGAGCAATCCTCTTTTCATCTAGACCTAATAACCACTCCAAACACTTCCAAAAGGAGTTGCAGTTTTAATGAATTTAACTGTTCAAGGAGCTCGATGCGAAGGAGTGTTAGTTTATCAACCGAGAACAGCTTTAAAAGTCCGCTAAACTGGAAAATGAACGTATCTGTTGAAAAGAAAGTTTCTCCTGCACCATCTTTTAAAGGAGAACCATATGAAAGTTTTGATCTTACCCAAAATAGTGATGATGAACACGATGTGATTCTGCTCTCTGATGAGGAAATAAATTATTCCATTTGGAAGGCCAATAAAACTGCCAAGGCTCAGGATTTTGAGGACGACAGCTCAGACAGTTGTTTTGCTTCTCCGGTATCCAAAAAGCGCGCTGTGCCCAAGTTCCAAACCGAAGAAGATCTAGATGCCTTCTTAAATGCCTTTCCTACGGATGGAAATGTATCAGAAAGTTCTCGTTCACCCAACAAGAGCGCTCTTAGCAAGGAGCGTGCTGAGTTTGGGATATTGGATGCGGCTCCATCGCAGCCTTTTAGTATACCTGAGGTACAGAGCCCAGCTAGGAGAAACTCGGCCTCATACAGCGATATTAACTGGGCAGAAGCTTCATTTTTGGATGTCCCATTAAAGCCTATGGCGCGCAGGAGTAGCCACAAATTCAATGACCTCTTGGCGAAAGTAAGTGAGCCTGGACACATTTCTGATGACGAGTTCGATGAATTTGATCAGATGGTCTTCAATAATGTCAAGGATGCCACTATTGCAACAGAAACAGATGTCGTGCCAAGTGGTCTGGATATTTTGCTAAAGGGAGATATTAAAACACCAGCAGTAGCAGAGCCGAGTCCTTCCAAGAAGCAATCTCCTGATGTGCCCGGTCAGATCGAGGTGGATGGTAATGTGTACACCGTACGTGTGTGCCACACACCCAAACCAGATTTTACTACCCTCTCTGAGTCTGAAATTCTGAAGCAACTTTACAACTACGGAATTAAGCCACTGAAGCGTAAGCAGGCTGTAAAAATGCTAGAGTTTATTTACAATCAAACTCATCCCATTATGAAAACCCCTGTTGAACAGAATTTACCCCCCAGGCGAGAGCCCATTCCTCGATCTAAATCCACTCCCGTAATTGGGGAGAAGGCCCGCTCCCAACTTATCAAGCAAACCTCTGAAGTCTCCCTGACGCCAACTGAACCGCGAAAGGACTTTAAATTTAATGATGCCTCAGGGGATGAACTGCTACGTTTCTCACAGTCTCTTCCGCCAAGTCTCTGCGATGATTTTGAGACCTTTGTCATGCAAACTAATGTTTCGAAAAAGACCCCACAACCGCTGGTGCCGCTCCACATCGCCTGGCACAATCTTCTCTGCGCCAATCCACAACTGCACGAGAGCGTTTTAATGTACGAGCCCATCGATCTGCAGGAGGTATATTTGTATTTAAAGCATATGGGTCACCGGTACGATCCCAAGGATTTAAAGACCTTTTTTGATCGGCGTTGTATTATCTTTCGATATGATCTGGTCGCTCCCGGTAAGCAAGCAGAGCGTCATGTGCGAAAGCATCCTAAGAAGCCATCTAAAAGAAAGTAGAACTTTGGCTCCATTTATAAAATTACACTGAATTTATTCCATATTCCGAATGCTTTGTATTTACTCATAGTTTTACCTTAGAATTTTTTATAGCATAAGACATTTGTTGTTTTGCATATTGCGCTTTAAAATTATTTTCTGTAAAATAAAGAAACTATATTTGTACGAAAGAAAATATTAGAATGTTTATTCAAGAAAGCGTCTGAAAAAATAGAATTTTCCCCTTTTCCTCATAAAAAAATATTTATAATCATTTTTGGGGCCGTAAATTGAAGCTTTATTTCATGTAATTTCAAAAGTCATTAGGACACTTAGCGGACAATTACAAATGTATAGAGTTTGCATTAACTTTTGTAGATATATGGATATGTATGGTTTGTAAAAATAGAAGATGGGACAAATTTAAATGCAGCATCTTAAGACTACCCAAAAAGGGTAGGGTTAAATACTTCGATCTTACGGCACTAAAAGACACTTGGACGGCATAATATTCTTACAAGTCTCTACATAGAAGGCACATTGTCTGTTTTCGGTTAATGGAATGGAAACGGCTCGAACCAATCTAGCTGCTAATGAAGCTATTTGTACTGCATGCAAAATAGGTATGGTTGTTGGGTGCAGAAAGGTTAGTGGAGTCTTACATCAGCTAAGGTTAGTTTTGGGGAGATATATAAGACGCAATTTGTAACATTGCCGGCATGTATAAGAAGTTTGAAAATTATTTTAAGGGTTGTCTGAGAAATTTTTTAAAAATCCTAAGTTGTCCCAGAACTCCAAAATGTAGTTTTACGTTTTAGAAACAATTTTTTTTAAGTCTACTCGTTACTCAAAACTACATGGGTTTCTGCGATCCTTTCGGTAAAAAAAGATTTCTCTAACAGCCCTAAATGAGATTAGGCATAGCTAATTTCATGCTCGTAGGACTTCCCCCGCAGGTCGTCGTCGTCCGGAAGTGCATGATGGCGCAAACCACACAAACGAGGTCCATAGCGCAGCATGACTATTATCACGCCGACGATGAACAGGGCAACGGCGGCCACGGCGGGATAAAGGAAATAAAGAGCCATGTTCACTTAAATGTCGCTCTCGCGCTTCTGCAGCTCCACGTATTCCTCACGCTGGCGTTGCTGGTGCAAAGTGCGTCCTTCTGGGCGTGGCGGTCGCTGGTGCTGCTGCTGGTGGTGATGAGAACCCGGGTGGACAGGCTCCAAGTCGTCAACGCCAATCACAACGTCGTCAGGGAACACTTGTTGATGAGTTGTGGGCTGAAAGAAAGAAATTTATATAATTCCACTTTTTGTAGTTTGAATTCTAAGTTTTCAATGAAATGGTAATTTCCGTTATATATTTTATGTGAGAACATTTAATTTTTGAATTTAAACATTTTTTAGAAAATTGAATTTACTCACATGGAAACGCTGGAAGTATGAAGCGTCCTTCAGTTCGGTGAAATCAAGTGGCGGCTGGTTATGCGGAGTGGCTGACCAAATGGAGACCAACCAGCGGTTTCCCGTGTGCCTGTCCTGCCAGTACTTGCGGTGCTTGGAGCAGCAGCCGAGGATGATATTCAAGATAATGATCGTGAGCAGGACAACCGTGCAGATGGATATGGTCACATAAAACGGCGAAAAGTTGCCGTAGATGTGGCCGGTGAAGTAGGGATTCTTTTCGTACGCCTTGCGTTCCTCTTCGATTGTGGACATAGTCTTTTAGGGGTGTGGTACTTGAAAAAGCGCTCAATAGCCTGCTGCACAATGCTCACTTGTCTGCAACCAGAATAAGGAAAAGTGACGATGAGAAAGCGGTTCAACCACCACGTTACTTGGCACCTGCACCCCGAAACCAATTGCCACCAATTTCAATTACTATTTGTCACATTGGGCGTGGCGTCACCAATGTAAACTTAGCGGCAGCTCCAGTTTATATTATTTAAACGTGGACTTTACTTACCATTTGCACACGATTGGTGGTCACTGATATTGGCACAAGTCCCATTCAGGTAAATTATAATTCAAAAGTACCGAAATTCTCAAATTTCAGCCACTTTGCAGCTATGAAAACAACGCCCAAAGCCTGGCTCAGTTCGATAGTGGTGGAACTTGTTGTCTTTATCGCAGGGTTGCAAGCGATCGATTACTATTTAGCGATCGTATTGGAACATCATTTAAATATTTTATAGTGTACTTTTAGGAATAATTCAATAACAGTAAAGAGCTAATAAGATTTCATGCTTTGGTGCAATTAATATACAATTAACATTTTAGAAATATGTATTTTTTATTTTTGGTATTGGTCGATCGATCCAAAAAAGAAACCATATTTATGTTTACATACATGTTTTCGAAAATAAACAATTCAAAGGTGAGAAAAAGAATGTATTGCATAAATGCGGTCACAATTGAAAACAAATTAAATGCGACTTCTTCCCGCCGCTTGTAACGTAACCGGCGCTTGCTTATTAACTATTACAGGTTCCGAAGCAATCCTAACACGAAAATAATTCAGCTATTCAATAGCCGTTTTCCCCGATCACTGGTCGTAGGTGAGGAAGTTATCCAACCCGGTGAACTGGCGCGCCAGGGCTCGTCCATCGTCGGTGGGCGTGCTGAAGGCGATGGTGTCCTTCGCAATCTCTTGACCCAGAACCGTGTGGCACTGGACGACCCGCAGCAGCTTGTTGGCAATCCCTGTGCGCCGATGAAGTGGGGAAACCCAGATCCGGGACACACCGCAGCTAAAAAGATGAAAAGTTTTGTTGGTTAACTAGCATAGCTGGCATATATCCTAATATATATTACCTGGCTGGGTAACTCTCCTCGCTGAAATAGTCCGTGCCATCGACTTGGATGAACCGATGGGCCTGTGACAGGGGCTGCACCAGGCAGAAACCCACAATCTGCTGCTTCCGCACCGCCATGAAGGCCACAAAGATCTTTGGCACAATGTACGAGGAGTAGCCCAGCTCCTTGTCCACCACCCCGATGAGATCCCGGAGTCTCTCGAGTCGTGCTGCCGGAGCGCGTTCGTTGATCCGTATAATCCGACCATCGCTTGCCCACTCCGGAAAAACGGCTACTATGTCCTCGTCGATCCAGCCCTTAAATCGCAGCACATGAATGGAGTTGTGGTACTCCCGGTGCAGCTGCTCCTCTTCCGGTTCGTGAACGGTGTACACCAATCCGCACTGCTGGCACTGCCGCGCTCCAAACGCCTTTTGCCCCGCATCTATTTGATACTGATTGGAACCAGCAGCTGCAGATAGCAATCTCATGCATGTGTCCGGTCGTCGGCGCGTTGATTTCTGGACAACGGGCTGAAGGCGTTGTGTGAAAATGGGAAATAGCCTTGGCTGAACGTCGTGTGCTGCTGAAGGATCCTGTTGCGGTAGCGTGACCTCCACTGGTTCCGCCAATGCTTCCATCTGAGCCACCTGCGCAGCCTCTTCGCTATTGACGACCATCAACAGATCGTCGACAATCCTATTGGCCTCTTCCTTGTGGTCTTCCGGATTCGATATGAAAACCTCAAAGTTCCTTTCGGTACAAATGTTGTTGCTAATAAGAAACTCCAGCAGGATTTGCTGCTGCTCTATGACGTCGGGATCATCGGTTTGATAGGGCAAGCGCTGGCGGAACGCAGCAAACGAATCAAGTTCAGCACCCTCCGCTTCTGGGGCATACTCAATTATGTCCGGTAAGGGTTCCGTATCCATTGGTATGTCCTGTGCTTCCATGGGCGTTGGCACAACCGCCAGCGGCTTTGATTCAACTATCTCATCTGTCACCGTGTCGTCCAGGTTCTTGAGGATCGCATCCACGGTTGCCTGCTCTGCCGAAAATATCGTAGCCGACGTGACGCGCACTTTTCTTGGTTTTCGACGTGGCGTTTGAACCAACGCGATCCTGCCCTGGCTGACGCTGGCTTTGATGTTGTCAGTGATTCTTACCTCCATGCAGGTGCTGCTCCGGCGCCCCGATTTGAAGAACTTGCGTTTGCTAAGATCCGCTGGCTCAGCCTGCGGTAAGCTGATCACAGGGTCGTGTCGAATCAGCGGAATAATGGGTTCCATCTCTATGACGGGAACGTCGATCAAGTCCTTCTCCTCATCCCCGCTGAGGTCGGAAAAATCGGCCGAGGTATCCTGCCACATGGTTGCTGGCAAATTGTTGTTGTTGTTGGCATCGTCGGCTTCAATAACACTCAACGGCTTGGCCATTTTAATCGGATCCTTGGCGCTGCGGAGAATCTGATGAACCTCCTCCACCTTGGCCCGCTCCTCCCGCTTGGTGGTGATTATATTCTTCAGCCTTTCGTTGCGCAGACTGTTGAGGATGTCGTTTAAATCAGTGGCCGGCAGTCGGTGTGGCAATTTGGGCGGCTTGCGTATTTTGTGGCGAACTCCTTTATTGATACCCAGATGTGGGCGGGAGGTTGGAGAGGTTTTTGTCGTTTTTCGTTGCCAACTCTTGGATGAAGATGGTGTGCTTCTTAACTTTGCAGTAGCTGCTCCGCCGTGCGAATAAAAGGCCATAGTGGGAATGCTATTTTCCAGAGTCAACTTGCGCATCTTGCTCTGTGGCGATCCAGAATCGGATTCCGCTGAAGAAGCCGCTTTGCTTGTTGGGGTGATTGGAAGCCCTCGCTTTTGGGCCATACGGTTGGATACTTGCCCATCAGAGTCGTCCACTTCACTTGGCAGTTTTATGTTCTTGTCGCTGTTTTCAGGGTTTGGCACTTCTTCATCCGAATTTAACAATTTAACTGGAGATGCTGATTTTCTTGTATTTTCTTTTGCAACTGTTGAGGTTTCTATTTGTTGATTTTCAATAAGATATTTTGGATTATTTTCGCTTTCCAAATTAATATTTGGTGGTTGATCAGCAACTGGTTGAATGTTGCTAGAAATTTCGGTTATTGTGCTGCTCTGTAGTGTATTTTTTAATGTTTCCAAGGGGGGATTCTTGCTTATTGTTTTCCGTTCTCACAGTTGTGATTTGCCTATTTAAGCCTTTATTATTTATTTTTGAAGTTTTCAAAATTAGGCGTTTCTCGTCCTCCAAAATTGGTTCTTCAACCTGCAGATTGGGTTTGCTTTCCAGGTTTTCTTTTTGGAGATTATCGTTATGAACTTGTGCTGTGATCTTCAGATTTTTCCTGGGCTTTCCCCTTGGTCTCCCATGAGATGACCTTGGCGAACTTAAAGAAGATCTTGGACTCTGACTGTCTAATTTCATAGCAGCAACCTTGCTCTGTCTTTTTATTTTAGTTTGGCTCGTAGACTCTGGTGAAGAAAGAACTTCCTGAATCCTCCGCGCATCGGAATTCCGTGGACTCCGTCTGCAAGCACTCCTGATTTCCTGAATAGGACTTCGTTTAGCTCGTTCCCTTTGTGTGGATGGAGAGTCCGAGCCAGAGGGCGAAGACCTGGATGAGTCCGCCCGTGGACTCCGTCTGCAGGCGCTCCTGATTACCTGCCTGATACATGGTGAAGCTATTTTCCTTTGTGGGGATGGGGAATCCAGGCCAGAGGGCGATGACATCGATGAGTCCGCCCGCTTCCTCTGCATCTTGGGTGTGCGGGGACTGCTGTTGCGACTATTGTTGCTGCTGCTGTTGCTATTCAACCGCATGGTTTTAGTAAACAAGTGAGGCAGTTGTTCCGCCGTGGCAGCACCGACGACCCCACCGCGGGTCTTCTTGTTCTCCTTGTTGGTTTCCGGACTGCTGTTGGCGCTGCCCCCCAATCTACGGGTGCCCTTCGCCGCGAAGAGACTTCTACCCTGCTTGTTTTTCGACACATGGGGCTTCAGTGGCAAGACTCCCAGACTGTCTACGTCCTCATCCTCTTCTCCGTCTTGGATCTTTCGCAGTCTGGAGACTGGACTGCCGAACAGCTGCCGCTTTCGCTCCGAGAGGCGCGGGGTTGCCGTGCGAGTAAGGCGCGTAGAACACCCACTCGGCGTCTCCATAATCGTTAACAAACCTTTTACTTCGCATTAACTTTGTCGAAATTGATAATCCCGCTTTTTTTTAGCTGCGTAGTGCTGGAAATGGTCAAGCCGATCGAAGTTTCGTCGGCGGTGACCAACACTGGCCAAAGAAACCAGCTGCTTATTGTTTATGAAACTGTCGCACATACTCTGTTATCAATTCATCGAAACTACAGTTTGTAAGAGCGACTTTTAACATTAACAGTAACAACTGTTAAGCGAATTTATGTTAGCCAACACTAGTAGAAAAACGAATCGAGAAAAAAATCGGAATACTGTCATACTGCGGAGAAGGAACGAAATCGATTCGGAAAATTCATCCGCACGCTTGGAAAGTAGAAAGTAAAAAAGCTGTGCTGTGCATTAAAATATTAATTTGCAGCACCCGACGACCAGGTAAGTCCCCACCGCATTATCCGTACCGCATTTGTAAGCCACGCCAATGAAAGCAACGAGAACCGTAAGAAAATGTGAACTCTAGCCGCCGCCATCTTTTTTTTGTGTATGCGTTAGGGCTCAGAACGCCAACACCAATTAAGAAAGAATGAAAAAACGGAATTAATAGAGATTACTGGTAATCGCGCTCCTTGTACTGCTGCCTGAATGTTACTCATTGCTCTCGTAATCCCGTAATAGCTGAAACAAAAAACTATTGCCCTGTCTTCTCTTCCTTGAGGTATCGCGTTTATCCGCCGCCGTCGTCGCCCAACCGCGATATAAAGATACTTGTATTTCCGACGCAGCCGCCGCCGCCGCGTTGAAAGCCGGATTTTCCGGGAACCCCAACCCTCCCAGAGTGCTAGAAACGATATAACCGTGGACGACCACGCTGCGGAACCCGCTGCCGCCATGCCCGGAGCCGGCACGTTCAAGTTGTTCATCGGGAATCTTGACGAGAAGACGCAGGCCACCGAGTTGCGGGCGCTCTTCGAGAAGTACGGTACCGTCGTCGAGTGCGACGTGGTAAAGAACTATGGCTTCGTTCACATGGAGACGGAGCAGCAGGGTCGCGATGCCATACAGAATCTGAACGGTTATACGTTGAACGAGTTCGCCATCAAGGTGGAGGCGGCCAAGAGCCGGCGGGCACCCAACACTCCGACCACGAAAATCTTCGTTGGAAATCTGACGGATAAGACGCGGGCGCCGGAGGTGCGCGAATTGTTTCAAAAATACGGCACCGTCGTCGAATGCGACATTGTGCGCAACTATGGCTTCGTTCATCTCGACTGTGTCGGTGATGTGCAGGACGCCATCAAGGAGCTGAATGGTCGCGTCGTCGACGGCCAGCCGCTCAAGGTCCAAGTGTCGACCAGTCGGGTGCGGCCCAAGCCGGGCATGGGCGATCCGGAGCAGTGCTATCGGTGCGGAAGATCCGGGCATTGGTCGAAAGAGTGTCCGCGACTGTACGGCAGCGCCGGAGGCGGACGCGAGCCGCCCTCACCGCTCAGCGCCGGCGGCTACAGAGATCGCATGTACGGTCGTGACCCGTATCCGCCGCCACCACCGCCGCCGCCGTTCCTGCGTGACCGCATCATGGATGGCTTTAGGGTAAATTCAGCATCCATTTTGCCCCCCGAACAAACCATCCAATGTCCATGTTTTGCCAGTTTTTTTTTTTTGTTCTGTTGCTAATGTAATTTATGTTTTCCGCCTCCGCAGGACTATGACTACTATGACCGCCGCTTCGAAGATTCACGCGATCTGTACGAGCGTCGCTACCAGACCTCGCGGATGCGGGACTTCCCGCCGCCGCCGATCTCGAGGCGCGAGCCCATGCCCTTGCCGCCCCCGCTGAGCGGCAGTCTGCGCTCCTGTAGCGTTTCGCGTGGATACGACACTATGTTCAGCCGTCGCTCACCGCCTCCGCCGCGTAGCAGCAACGGAATGAGTCGCTACGGGTAGGTGATCCTTGATTTAAGGGTCGAGATGAGTTTATAATGAGTTCTTTCCTCCATTGCAGCTCCCCCACTCCTCACGGCTACGAGGACTTTAGTCGCGACGCCTTTGATGAGCGAATGATTTCGTCGCGCGGCATGCGTGGTCCATCGCCTCCTGGTCGCCGATATGCGCCCTACTGAGATGAGTTTTACTATAACGGCAGCAGCTGAGTGGCGGTTGCACTGCCCATGCACTTGCCCATGTCCCTTCCCATGGCTCATACTCTATACCACACACTTGGCGACCAAAGGGCGGCGGCTGGGGATTGCTGGCTGCTCTGTTGGTCGCCAGCGGCCTACTACCATCAACTACACCAACAGCGCATGCTGATGCCGCCGACATTTTCACAGATGTGGCTGCCACCCTGGTAGTCCATACATATTTTACTAAGCCTAAACTAACCATAATACGTATTCTACTCAAACAAGAAGATGGAAACTTTTGTCGAATCATCCCGACCCTTATGGAAACCTTGAGTAAAAGACTAGACAACGACGTGCTACACCACACATCCACAATGATTCGATATATCAGTAGACTTCGCGAGTACCAATAAAAGCATAAGCAGTCGGAAATATGCAAAAATAATCATGTCTTTTAAAGCTAAATAAAGGGGCAGTATTGCAACGATGTGTCTAAGAGCTAAGTTCAGTTTATCCGCTAGGCTTGCGGTATGGAGTGATGGCTGCCGTGCTTATCCAAAATTGAGTCCTCGGGTGAGTGGTCGTCCTGTTTGCCGCCATTGGGCTTGTTAAGTTCTTGGAGCTCCACAGGTGTGGCCTTTTCATATGTTGGTGGTATCAGCAATCGGCTAATAAAGATAACAGAGATTGATTAATTCCAGGGAATCCCCTTTGTAGATGTTATCGTGACTCACTTGCTGAAGTGCAGCCAAAACATTGAAACGAACATCATAAACCCTGTTATGCCGAAGGTCCAGTAAGTGCCGAGTCGCGAGTAGATGGATCCCACGAAAAGGGGACCAAGGACACGCGACATACAACCAGAACCGGTCATCCAGCCCATCCAAACGCCCTGCGGCCGGGGTCCCAGAACCTTTGAAAAGATTGTCTGGATAAGAGTCACCCCAATGGGATAGCCCACTGAGGTCAGGGCAAATCCAATGATGAATTGCGTCAATGTCAGGGCCGGCAGTTCGCTACACCACGGCCGTGTGATTGGGCAGCCTAAAAAGAGCGGATCGCTTTCGGTCAGATTCAGGCTGGCATTGAAGGGCTGTGCCAGTTTCGGCGGATCCGGACCCCAAGGAAGAAAGAGCACACGACCAAGGAACATCAGCGAGAAGCCGCCCCAGATGAGCACAAAACGTTCGGGGAAGATCTTGCACAGGGGTTCAATCAAAACGAATGTGGCCAGGGAGATAACCGCTGCGACGGTCATCATGATGCCCATGTACTTAAGTGCCTGATCGTTAGACCACGCGAACATGTCCATCGTCAGGGATGTGCCCAAGCTGTAAACAAAAAATCATTCAACTTTACGATCTACTCAGTGCTAGGAATACATACGTTTCAAGCAGCACAAAGTTGAACACCAGCACAAAGAAGGCGATAATCAAAGTCCAAGCGGAGTAATAGTTCGGCTTGATGCCCTTCCAGGTGTCTCGCTCCGAGGTGCCGCCCTGTATAACCATCACTTCGCGAGCGGCGATTTTGTGCTCCTAAGGAAACATGCTATACACATTGTCAAAACCTGAGTAACATTCCGTTTTACCTCAAACACGCCGGGAAGGAAGAGCAAAAAGTTTCCGATGCTCATCAGCACATTGATCCAACCGCATGCCGTGTACATGTTGACGTGCATCTTGCCCCACAGCCAAACGTGTCCCTCTTCGCCAAACGGAACAACCGCTGCCTGTAGCGACGGTCCAACGATGAAGCCCAGAACCTGGGCCAGCGAAACCATTGACACTGCGTGGGTGCGTTCGCAAAGTCGCGTCGCCGCCGAAAGATAGGACCGGCATAGAGCAATATTTGCCGAGCTTACTCCAATGAGGAACCGCGATGCTAGCATCCAGTATTTGACATTACTCGGTCGCAGGAACAGCGAAGAGTACATCCCACTGGCAACCGTAAAAAGCGCCAGCGAAACCAGGAGTGGCACGCGAATCTTGCCCAGCTTGTTGCCCCACCAGCCGAAGACTGGGCTGAAAATCGTTTGCCCCAGAGGATTGGCGGCCACAATGAAGCCCAAGAATTCTAAGCCAGCATCGGGATCTAGCTGAAAGAGACGGTAATGAAAAATCAGCGGATAGACTATACAAAACAATCTCACCTTTTTGAGGAAGGGCCAAACGCCTGAGAGAACGATGCTGAAGCCCAGCGACATCAGGAACATTGTAAAGTAGATGATGCGGACGGAGCGCCAGCGCTGTTTGTACTCCGCCAGTGTTTCCAGGTCATCGTCCACGTCATCGGGCAGTCTTTTAGTTTCAAAGCGAGCGGTCAACCGACGAGCAAACTCCATAGTTGGAGTTCCTTTTTATTTTCTTGGCGGGAGGGTTTCTTTGTGATGAAAGTCTTTTTTGGGTTTTACTTCCGCTGAGTCATTCTGTATCTGGAATCGAAAAGGTTTTGTGGACTTTTGTTTATGAACATGTCAGTTTTAAGGCACTTTGCTTATACTATTTTGATTTAGCTTCCTTTCAATAAAAGTTTTCAAGATTGTTAGTAAAGCTTTTTGGAAAATCCTGTTATGAATTTAATAAAAATCTTACAAGAAAACATAGATGTATTTCATAACATTGTTTTTCCAAGGTAAAGTTGAACCTGTAATTTAAAAAATAGTTCTATTATATTTTAAATGAATTTATAATAAAAAGTGGTATTTATTAAAGAAAAAATAGAGGAGGTCGCGATTGTTGCCCTTGAACGCGTCAATATTAAATGGATTATCTTCCAGCCAATGCGTGATCATCCTCTGAAGTACCGAAGTTAGGGAAATAATTTGTTTAACTTATCACATTTCGGAAGATAAAGGTGATCGGTGCCGGAATATTGCCAAGTGCCAGCTGTTAATACCCGTTCGTTGCCATGTGAGTGCGTATGTATGTGTTTTGTTTAGTAAAAGCCACTATCACTGTGAGTTCGCCTTTGTTTATGGCATGATAAGAGTCAAACAGAGCCTCTCCGTTTATTACATGATTTAATTTATCAGAGAGAGAGAGAGAGAGAGAGATGTTCAATCACTTAAATGTTTCGTTAATACTGTTTTTAAAATAGTGTCATTAAGTAAGGTAATGTATACAAAGTTAACCAACAAGTGTTTTTTTAAGAGGTTTTGTGATAATGCAAACACTGCAGCGATTAGCAATTTCAATGAGTATTGGTGGATTTTGCACTTCCTAGTTGAGACATAGTTGCCTTCGTAAATCAATATCAAATTGAATGATTCCCAATTGATGCACTCATTTGTTGTTTGTGGAGAGCCAGATTCTCGTTCTGATTCTCAAAAAACGCACACACACGCTCTTTTGAATACTAGATATAAGATAGCGACCGTTGATCTCTGATTGCTTTGGTTTCTTTTCTTTTAAAAAGCTACTTTGTGTTGTGTTTTCGCTTGATTTCTCATTATTTCGGCTTTTGAATATTTATTTGGCCCGCTCGCAAATTACTACGTTGTTTTTGTACACATATTAAAACATTTCAATGCAACTAAATCAGTTCCCGTCTCTTTGGTATTACTCGCACTCTCTCCTCATTTTTGTAATGTTGATTCACAACACTTCACACAAAACGCATTTTTCTGGTCTCTCAGTTCCCAATGGTTACCTATTCTTTACAGTAAGATGAACAAGTAACCCCCCGCCACGAAGTCTCTCTTATTTTACAGACCCTTTGTGGGGCTTCGAGCGAAGAATTAGTGCACCTTTAACCAATTGGGATCACACAACTACCTGTTGCAGCGGGACGGCGACAACCTTTGAGGTTGGACGGTTGGGGAAGACTGAAGACGCGTCGCTTGTTGCCAACAAATCGGATGGAGTCGTCGGGAGAGAGCATAACGGAGCTAAAATAAGAGCGGGATCCCAAAGAATTTAAAGCCGGAAAGTATGTTGTAAATGTATCGATTGCATTTTCCGGATTCAAGTGAAAGTAAAGTGTTGGTTAGGTTATATTTTTTATAACCGTTGCTCGCTGAGGTGACCTCCGCTATGGTACAATTATACAATGTATACAATGTATAATTGTACCATGACCTCCGCAAGGTTACAAATAATTTAAGGCTAGAAATAATTTATACTGACAATTGCTGCTACTGCAGAATAATACAAATTATTAATTTATTTAGTGAGACCCAAAAATTCCTTAAAAATATACAACAAAATAAAATAAGAGTAGCTAATATTGATTTGGATTGCGAATTAGTTGTAGGTGTTTCTCTACAGATTTCCACGGGCTTGCTGCAAACGCATTAGCCTTCGCTGCCTTAACCACGGGAACAAGAAGCCTCCTCGCTGGGCAGGAAGTGGAACTCGGGTTGCAATTTCCATCGGAGCAGCAAGGGTCACAGCTTCCGGTATGATTTCATTGCGTCGAGCATCACGGAATAAATCGCTTGGCCTGCGAGGCGCACGCTCCTCATCCTCGCGATCCTTCTTCCGCGGCAAATCTTTTTCCCTGATATTCAGGCTGAACACTTCACCAGTCCGAGGATCAGATGACAGGTGACTCACAGTATCCTGAAGTACACGGGGAATCCGTTCCACCACCTGCAAGGCATCACGAAGCGGTCGAATATCCATCTCTTGCTCTTGCTCCCTGCGCCATTTCGACTTGGAGGCTTTACTCTTAGAAGCCTTGAGTGAAAAAGGACTCTTTTTGGTTTTCCTGGAGTATGAGTCCTTCTTCAGTGGAGCAGGACGAATCAGACGCGGAACAGTTGGCTCTAGGAACCATGGATCCCGAGCAGCTGGCTCATCCAAATCAATGTGGCGCTTGAATCCCGATGGCTTTGACTCCCGCTGCTGCTTTTGTGATCGAGTGCCCAATGGCGAGGGACGCACCAAAGAGCCGGCAAAGTCGTTGAACCACTCCAAATGATCTACAGACCTTTTGTTCCTGGTCAGCTCCTGTTCGGAAGGCTTGGAAACAGCTTCCAGGGCATTGGCATTTGGCTGCCAGGCAGAGTTTTTGGAAGGCTTGTAGATGGTAATGTTGGAGCGACGACTCCGCGGCGACTGACCTGAAGATGAGGCACTCCTAGTCACCAAATCCCGCTTCTGTTCAAACTGCTCGGCGTTGCGCACAAAGCGATTGCTACTCGGTCCCTGGATGACAATCTCGAAGGGAAGACTCAGTGTCTTAGCATTCATTTGCATGGTGCGGATGCACTCAGTGTCGGAGTTGTCATCATTGCACTCGCAAAGGCACTCCTCCCCGCAGTAGAAGCCCAAACATCCGCAGTGCTCGCAGAGGGCTTTGCAATTCATTTCCAGCTTGGACTCCGTAAGGGGATTCACCCTGCGCGTAGACTTCGTGGAAGTGGCCACTGTCGATGGTAATTTGGTTGTCGTGGATGGCACGGCATTAACCAGATGGAGAACAACCAGTACCAGTATCACCGTACAGCCGTAGAGGCTGCTCTTCCGTATTTCTCCCTTCATCATTGCGGGTGCTCCAAGTCGAAACTGTCTGGGTATTTGCGGTGCACTACCGATTTTATAACGCTGACCAGGTGAAATCGTAGATGTTCGTGACTGACAGTTGATTCTGTATTTCGGTTTGCCGGAATTTTTGCTGACATCGTGTGATCTTGAGACATTTCGCAACTAGGTTCTCCAATTGAGTTCTATGCGCATGTTTTTTTGGCACACTTCGGCGTGCCAAGGCCAAATACCCGGACTTGAACTTGGCCCAGAAGACAGAAAGTTCTGTTTATAGCGTTTATTATAAAAGAAACCAACTAACAAAAACCCATAAATTCCATCAGCGGCGCTTGCCCTTTCCCTTCTTGCCGCCACCGCCGCCGGATCCGGATGCAGTGGGTTGCGGCTGCGACTGCTGGTGATACGGGTCGCCGGATTTGTTCTGGCGTGTCTTTAATTGAGGGATCTTGGCGGCGATGTGCAGCATGATGGATTCCCGTGTCGGAAAGTCGTTGTTAAAGAGCGTGCCATCGGCATTACGGAGCTGGACCCGCACACGGCCGCGGAACTGGAGTTCGCTGCTCTTCTCACGGCAGTACTTCTTGTTTTCCATGAGGAATTGTAGGTTGCTGACCGACAGAACATCGCGAATCTCCACGTAGGTCGGGTTGTCCACGCAGTTCTCCTTGGGCAGCCGGCGGCCCTCCTGGCGGGTCCTTTTGCTGTTGATGTAGGCGGGGTAAATGCAGATCCACCTTTGATAACAATAATAATAAAAACATGTGAGGTCGGACTTTGTTTTGTAGGATTTTGTCAGATTTCTACCTTTCCATATCGTTGTGCTTCATGTTTGGATTCCAGTTGGTTCGCATAGGTACTGCAGCAGCCATTTTTGCAGGGATTCCGTTTTTGTTTGTTTGTGAATATACGTAATTTTTGTTAAAATAAGCTAGAAAGCTGTTTTCCACGCAGGCAACCTGGCCTGAATTAGGGATGGCAAAAAGACTGTAATCGATGTCATCAGAGAATAGCCAGTATTGGATTTGGCTATCTTTCACGCAAAAACAAACGTTCTTAACAATCAAATAAATTAACCATAAAGTGAAAACTTAATAGATTCTTCAAAATGGGTTTAAAAAATATATGATTAGAAGTTTCATCATGTTCCCGCCAACTCCACCTAGCTAGATTTTTCATCTCTGGTGAAATCGATTTTAACTTTAATGTTGATATCGACTTGATTGCACCTCTAATATGCAGGCCGCGGATGAACTTCAATAACAGTCTGTTTTTGGTCTTTCCGAGGTGTATTTGCCCTGATCAGTGCGGACTTTACGAAATATCGTGTTCGACTGTCGACCAGCGGCCCACAAACAATTCTAGTCACGCGTGTCGCGGAGCCAAGCGGTAAACAAAAAGCACGCCCCACACCGCGGCTCGTCCACCCCCGCAATCAAAACAACAAAAGCACACGCAAGGCCACGGCGGAGAAACAACAACAACAACTCCACCAAAAACTAAAGCAACAACAATGGAAGAACTGAACAGCATATTGCAGAAGACCAAAGATAAATCAACTCAGAAGGAGCAGGATGAGGTACTTATCCCACGGCTTAATCCTTCCGGACCCCGTAAACTTTGACATTTGAAAGTGGCACCCCCAAAAAACACAAAACTAACTCGGCCTTCTTTCCCTCCGTCCCTCTTCAATCCACTCTTCTTCTTTTTGGGGTTTATTTACATGTGGCCCACGCACAAAAATCCACTCCCACATGGCGCTCGTTGATGGTTAACGTTATCCAGATTCTGCTGCAGCCCTTCACATACATACAACAGATTCCTGGCAAACAATTTCGCTCCGAATTGGCCTTGGCCTTCAATCACTGGTTGCTCATACCGGCCGAAAAGTTGGCGCAGATCGGGGACATTGTGCAGATGCTGCACAATTCCAGTTTGCTGTGAGTATATCATTTATACACAGTATACAGCTGTGGTCAAATTAATAGCCGTAGGATGCATGCCAATATATCAGCGTGATATCGGTTTGTCGTTTATTGGGTGCTTAAGCGCATACTCTGCGATTTTTATTGGCGGAGTTGTTCAATACTTGTTCATTTGGGGGTCACAAAAATTGTTTCCAATAAAATTTCAAATGAAAATTAAACCTCAACGTCACATAAACTTATCAACCTTGGAAAAGCAAAGAGTAGGCTCTAAAATATTTAATTTTATAGGCCTTAGAAAGCTTGCTTCTAAATTATCTAAAAATTTAAGGATTCTTTGACACTGGTTTCCCAGCATATAAACATTTTTATTTTAGTTTAAATTTTGTATTACAATGCCTGCTGCTCATATACTTAATTTAAGCCATTTTTAGTTTACATATTTAAAGTAAATTATAACTTTATTTATATTTGTTTCAACCGTTTATAAGAACTAATCTAAAAATAAATCAAAAACCATTATTTTTAAAGATTTATACATATGCATGTGTCGTAAAGAAACCGTAATAGTTCCATGAGCTAATTTTACGGCCGTATTCGTATTTTATGTAAATACCTGTCGATATTGTACAACTAATCATGTGTGGCGTGTTTTAATTTTAATTTTGGACCTTTGCCTTTCTGCGATTTTCAGCTCTGCATTGTTTGCCGTTGTTTACCTTTTGTGTGTGCCCCAGAAACCCCTCTTGTTTCCTCTTGCCCAGCATGTTTAATCTCTCTTCACACTTGCACAGCTTGTATTTGTATACATTTAGTTTATTTGCTTTTGTTTAGATGGATTCCAGTTGAATGCCCAATCGAGTGTGAACTCTTTTGTAGAAGTGATGATGGGATTTGGAGAGACTCCCCTCACCCTAAACTTACATTGCGTTTGTAAGTAATACGTAATATCCCGAAACGCTCACCATATGGTTGGGTTGCCCGAAAAGTTCTTATCACCATCAGCAGTTCATTTCCATAACTCGCACATACAACTCATAAATTCTTTGCATTATCATTCAGGCGGGGTGACTCACTCCTCGGCCAAACATCTGATTTGGCCGTATTGGGTAATGTTCTCGGGCATTTAATGGTTATTTGGGCACACGTTCTGTTGGCCTCAAATCACTTCCAAAATTCATCGTGAGCCCGCAGCTTTTTCTGTTTACAATTGAATTTCTTTGCATTCCATTGCCGGATCCGAAATTGCATAAATTATTTAGATTTTTCCCCGGAACGCCCAGGGGATAAAATGTGAGGAAAGGAGATGAGTGAGTGAGCTGCGTTGCCAACGAAACGCCACAATTAAACTTTGAACCCAGCCAATTGAAGTGTCTGCCGCTTTTCAATTAAAGTCAGTAAACTGAGTCGAAGTGGCCCGGGGATTTTCGCCTATCTTTGAGGAGCAGAGCTAAGAAAGTGTTCATGTCGCTTTCGGGCTAATTCCGTCTTGCCTCCGGCCACCTGTCGCCTCCCATTCAAAGGCAAACACTTAGAAATGGCCTTAATTCTGCTTAAAATCCCCGACATTGTTCCTTGGCAGCGCAGCATTCTCATTTCTCCCAAGTGCTGGCCTCTATGTTCTTGGTGTTTTTCCCTATTTTTTTCATCTTTTTCTGTTTTTTTTGTAATGCATTTTCATATTGGCAAAAACTTAGTTTTACAACGATGCCAGCCAGCCAGCAGTTACAGCCGGTCGACAGTGGTGGCCAAGTACCCCGGACCCTCGTTCGTCCGTCATTCATGCACTTATGCCCATTGTCAGTTAGTCAGGCCATCGCCAGTCGACAGGCATTGTCACAACTCTTGCCACGCAGCAGCACGCCCACTATTTTTCCCATTTTCCTCATTTTCCCCCATCAACATCCAGCCTCCTTTGAACACCCTGCTTCTCCTTCTCTCTTCCATTGTGCGTTGTCGCTTCAACGCCCACGCCTTCATGTCATACCATAGCATAGCAGAGGACCCATCCAATCCCGGCCCAAACCATCCATATTCCCTACCAATGACTTTGCCAGCTTTGGCGGAGCGCAAACATTTTTTAATTACGCAAATGTTGGGCTGCCCAGCTCGTTTTGCCCGCCGGGCACCGTAGTTATTGAAGCGATGGCGGCCTTTAAGCGAGGCTTAAATTTACACATCTATTATGGGGCCACCGTATGTTCATAAATATGTATGTTTAGCCTGCCAGGCGGCGGGAGGGGAGACACACAACCCGCACGGAGAACCGTTGGTGGACACATCACCAGTTTTCCTCACTTCGTTCACGCTCGAATTGTGAAATTCTATTTAAAATTCCATATTTCCTTATTCGATACGTGGTCAGGTTGTGTAACTTGCAATTGGATTTTCACAAAACATCGGCTGATTAGTAAATTATCATATTTCTTAATGCGAAACATTGCTGACCAAGTGAACTCACTTGAAATAATACAAGCACTTCAATTTACTTTAATTCCTAGAACGAATTGTTCTTTATCATCCTTTTTATAATGTTTTCCGATAAGAATATGTAAATATAGTCTAAATGGTTTTGTTTGAAGCGCTTAGAATGGTTGTAAGTAATTATAAAACAGATGGTTTTAAATAAATTTATTTTTTCCAAAAAAATAAAATTTTAATTATTTTTGTATAAAAGTTATAAAGGTTTCTGTTCTGAAATATTACAGCTATATTTTATTTTAACGAATCTTAAAAAGCATGCTTTTATTTCATAATTAAATTTATAATGTCTTAATGTTATTGTAGTATTTATGTGTTTTTAAATTGTGTTAACAAAATCTAAAACCTCATATGTGTTTAACTTAGAAATATCTCCTTTTAAAAGTAGAGTAGAGGTACTCAATTAACTCTCTGCTATTACTTATGTATGTGTTCTTGATACTAACTTGCAGCATTGATGATATTGAAGACAATTCGATCCTTCGCAGAGGTGTGCCTGTGGCGCATTCCATCTACGGCGTGGCTAGCACCATAAACGCGGCCAACTATGCATTGTTCCTGGCTCTGGAGAAGGTGCAGCAGCTGGGACATCCGGAGGTACAAATAAAAGCAAAAGATTAAACCTTCTGGATAGTGACAAGTCATCTGGATTTCTTGCAGGCCACCAAGGTGTACACGGAACAATTGCTGGAACTTCACCGCGGACAGGGCATGGAGATTTACTGGCGCGACAGCTTCACTTGCCCCTCGGAGTCCGATTACAAGCTGATGACTGTGCGCAAGACAGGCGGCCTTTTCATGCTGGCCATCCGCCTGATGCAGTTGTTCAGCTCCAACAAGGAGGACTACTCCAAGTTGACGGCTATTTTGGGCCTGTACTTCCAGATACGCGACGATTACTGCAATCTGAGCCTAAAAGAGGTGAGTGGAGTGCGAAAGTACGTATATATCAGATAATTATTAATGACATTTCGCTCTAGTACACGGAGAACAAGAGCTTTGCCGAGGATTTGACGGAGGGCAAGTTCGGGTTCCCGGTAATCCATGCGGTTCGCACCCAGAAGCAGGATAAACAGGTTTTACGTAAGTCCAACGTCTTGACCTCACCCAAGTGGCCCGCCACTCATCAAGTTGGGGCTTACGCTTATATCCACAGACATATTACGCCAGCGCACGCACGACATTGAGGTCAAGAAGTACTGCATCACCTTGCTAGAAAAGCTGGGCAGCTTTCAGTACACACGCAAGGTCCTGGAGACTCTAGACGCGGAGGCGCGGGCGGAGGTTAGTAAAAGAGCAGTGATGGGGAAAGTGGAAGTTACTTGGAACGCGTTTTTTTTATTTAGGTAACCCTTTGTTATGTCTACAAATGTGAGGCTTTAAAGAAAAATGATTTAACTTCAAGTCGGGCATAAATCTTATTTATTTATTTCAGTATTAGTTTTTATACATAAATTGCATTTACTATATAAAATAACTAATTTAGGGATAGAAGTAACTAGCTACTGTGGCCATCGACTCGAGACATAAATCTTAAAAAAATGGAAATGCTTTAAAAATTAATTGGAATCTTTAATATATGTGGCTTTTACTTTTTTTTAATAATAAAGATCGTTGTTAATGTACTAAATATTGAATTGCAATAACGTTAAACGAAAAAATCTCATATTTTAAAACGGACCACAATGTTACTATATTTAAATATCCATCTAGTTCCTACTTTCCATCACTGACCGCAAACTAAATTATGCTTCTCCAACTAATTTTTTTCTGCCCACACAGGTGACCAGACTGGGTAGTAATCCGTACATGGACCGCCTCCTCAACAAGCTGCTGTCGTGGAAGACGAGCGACAGCGCCAGCATCACGCAGTCGAACCAGATCAATCACAACAACGTCTCGCGCAGCAGCCCCAACCAGAACACGCTCAATTGCAATTAGCAGCCAAAGAGGCAAAAGAGGGAGCAGTCGTGAATTGCGAACGGCAGAGCCTCTTCTTTTGCCGCCAATCCGAGACAGCAGCAGGCCACCACCAGCCACCACTCGAGGCCCGCCTGCCTCAGTGCGTCCCTGTTGCGTTTCCTGCAAAAGCTGAAGATATTCTGAGATTTATGTTCCCCCTTTTGCCAACCGAAACAAAACCCACAGAGAACCCATTATTTTTCAGCCAAAAACTAGAGCGATGAGAACGGAAATGAATGGATTGCATTGAAAATGAAGCGAATGGGAATGGGAATGGATAACAAAACCAACAGCAGCCTTACAGAAAATTGTTAAGCCAAAAGTAAATTGATATAAGCCAAGCTTATCAGTGAGCTAGCAAAGAGCCATAGCACAGCTTTCCAAGAATTTGTTTATGTTTACTTTTAATTTAGTTTTGCGGTAATGTTACGTAGATAGTTATGGGTAGTTTCCTTCCTTTTTAGCCCAGCGCATGGGGTCAAAAAAAATCTCGCAGAGCATTAACTTAATTATAGAATATATGCAATTTTTTAGCTCTTGTATTTCTAAGTGTGTTTCGTATTCGTAACTCGATTCTGCAAGCAATTTTTGGATTTCTAAGTGTATTTTTCAAATCTAACTCACTCGGAACTCAATGTGCACTTCCTTTATCGACGTTGTTCCATTTTAATTGTTATACAAAAGGCAATTCGTATACATACGTACTATTAACGACAAATTGTTAACGTTTTATGCAACAACTACAAAATCAACACAAAAAGAAAAACAACAACTATATATTGAAATAATGATAATGATGCACTGCACAGCAGATTTTTGCACATTGCACCACCTAAAAAATATATACATATATTATATATAAATATATATTTTTATTGTAGTTATACACTTGAAAAAAAAAACAACAAAATAACGGCAAGGGAAACCACAAAAAAAGAACAGGAGGAGTAACCAGATTGCTGAAGGGAAAATGAAAACAAATTGTAAACTATGCAAACATTTTACGGTAGTAGGAACGACAACTAATAGCCGAGAATTTACAGTGCACGCCCAGATGCAGCTAACAAACGCAAGCGCACCTAACATTTTGCCCATATACCACTAATGAAAGCATTGAAATATATGTATATGTATTTAAATAAATATTTATGCCAAGTTGTCAACTTAAAGTTAAGTGTTGGGGTTCATTTATTACGGGATATTTACAGGTCATATCTGTTGAAATGGATTTTCATTTTGAATGTTACCTAAATACACATAAAGTTTATTATTCTTATGAGAAGTAATTAGCATTTTAACGTTAAAAACATTAAACAAATTCGGTGATGAATCTTACATAAAATTTGTGTGCGAATAAGGATTGGTATAATAAAGATATAACGTTAAGAATGCTAAAAATAATCTTTAAAAAATAGTTGTGTATACTTTTTTTTAAATAAAGTATGATTTTAAACCTTTTAAAATTCCATTTAAATAGAAAACTACATAGGGTACAATTATGTTTTCGTATCCTTGGTATGTACATTTGTAGTTCCTAGTTGTTTTTTGATCTACATATTATTTTTTTCGGGAGACTAGGAATCCTGCTCAATCATATCCATCAGTTGTAAAAACTCCTGTGAAGCGCCGTCAACTTCGTTTTCCTGGTCCACGAATTCATCATAGTCATCATCCTCCTAAGTCAAATAAAAAATCTTTAAATAAAAGAACCAATGCAACACTAGTTATTTTAACCTACCTCGAAACCAAAGCAGTTGCTGGCACTAATCTTGGATGCTGCGCTCGGCTCGTGCTTGACCACCACCTCCTCGTCGCCATTAACCAGTTCCACGACCATTACTTCGCCGTCTTCCCCTTGAAGTTCCACGGTGAAGTCTGCGTTGTCCGGCTCTTCTTTGATATGGAACGTTTTGGTGCTGCCTTGAGCTCGAAGTCGCCGATTGATGATCGTGGGCTGGTTTCCGGAACCAGCACGCCTGGCCTGCTTGTTGATAATTACGGGTGCAGGCTTACTTTGCTGACGGGTCGGTATGAATTCCTCGTCTCCATTATCTTCATCTTCAGAGTTCTCCGGCTCGATCTCGGCCAAGTCATAACTCTCCGGATTGTCCTCCTCTCCGTCTTCTTCCTCAACAAGATCCGCACATTCCTCCTTGGCCACCATGATGACAGTGCCATCCTTTTGGAGACGCAGACTTCGGCCCATTTTGAGGCGGCGCTGCTTCTCGCGGGCATTCACCGAATCGTCGTGAATCTCCATGTGCCGCATAAGATTACCCTTGTGGGTAAACTCCCGCGAGCAGCTGGGACACTTGTGCATCTTGGCGCGCGGCTCCGGCGGCTGATACTCCTCGTTGTGGATAAGATTCATGTGGCGGCGCAGCAGCTGGCGTTGGCGGAAGGTCTGCGGACACTGCTCGCACTGGAACGGCTTCTCGTCCAGGTGGATCAGCATGTGCGACTCCAGGTGCCGCTGGGTAACCGAGGCGTAGCTGCAAAGCGTACAGCGGTAGCACTTCTCGCCCTCGTGCGACTTCACGTGCAGCTTGTACTGGTAGCGATCGGGCAGCTGTTGTCCACAGCGCCGGCACTGAAGCGGTTGGTCCGAGGTGTGCATGTGCTTAATGTGGATGCGCAGGTCCGCCTTTCGGCCGCACGTCGTCGGGCATAAAGTGCACTGAAAGACGGGCTTGTCTACCACGCTGTGGATTAACTTGTGGGCCTTCAGTGAGTTGGACTGCGTGAATCGCGACTTGCAGATATCGCACTGATACTTCTTCTCGCCCGTGTGAATGACCAAGTGCCGCTTCAGCTTGAACATGTCCTGCGAGGCGTAGGTGCAATGCGGGCACTGATACGGCCGCTCGCCCGTGTGGCAGGTCATGTGGCGACGCAGCTTGGTCAGCTCTACGCTGGCGTAGCTGCACTCCGTGCACTTGTGCGGCTTCTCCTTGGTGTGCTTGTAGCGTGTGTGCCGGATCAGCTCGCCGCTGGTGGTGAAGGCGCTGTCGCAGAACTTGCACTTGTGCGGCTTTTTACCCATGTGCGTGTTGATGTGATTCTGCAGACCGACGTTCGATCGGAAGGATCTCTCGCAGATGGAGCACTTGAAGGCGGGCACGACATCATGATTCCGGCAGTGGCGCGCGATCAGAAACTTTTTGTTGGCCGTATACGGACAGTGAGGGCACAAGTACTTTTGTCCCGAAACACTTGCGTTCTGACTGGTAGAAGCCGGCTTCAGTTTAACCTCTTTGCTGCTTGGCACAAAGTCGAGGTCCTTCTTGTCATCTGGTTCCTCCACGGCGTCCTCAATCGCATTGTCTTCAAACTCATACACCTCACTATCGTTTTGTTTCAGGGCAGTGGTAGCTGCTGCTTCTACGGCAGCACTGTCCACTGTATAGTCCGCCATATCGTTGACCACGGCATTGATGTCGGGATCATCCACTAGCTCCTCGATTTCCCGCTCCAGATCAACGGGCTCGGGCTTCGGCACAATCGGGTTTTTTCTTGGCCTGCCTCTGGGTGCCGGTACCTTCGCAGCTGGTGGCGGTGGAGGTGGCAAATCTATCTGCTTGGACTTGGCAGCAGCTGCTCGCGCCGGACGAACGCTAATAGCCTTGGATTCTGCAGTAGGCTTTGATGTGTCGGCTTTTGATGGCGCTTTTGGTGGCGATTTTGCTGGGCGCAAATTGATGGCTAAAGATAAAGAATCAAGTAAGTAGGAAATCTTATAAATCAAGCAATGGATACCCACACTTATTGGTTGTTTTACTGACGACGGATCGAGTGGCTTTTACGGGCTTTGCTGCTGCCTGCTTCAGCTTCTTTTGCAGCTCCTTCTGTTTTTTGGGAGTGGCTTTAACGTAGCAATTGCCCTCGTCGTCGATAAAGTACTTGTCATCGTCGTCGTCCTCTTCTTCCTCCTCTGCATCCTCGTCTGCCTGCTGTTCCTCCGGAGTCGACTTGGCTGCCTCATCAACCACTTCGTCCTCCTCATCTATGTCGCCGTCCTCGGCCCGAATGGCCTTCAGAATGGTGTCCACAACCTTCTCATCGCTGCTACCGTCGATCTCCTTGTGAAAGTTGTTGAGGAAGGACTGCAGATCCTCGCTGTCTTCTTTCTTTTTGGTTCGCCTTGGCATTCCTGAACAAAAACAAGGATTTAGAGTTGGTGGCGACGCACAGCGGACATGGGCCCCTGAAGAGGGCGCCTATCGATTTCTCGCAGCTACCAATCAAGGTCGGTCTTTGTTAATTACTTACCGGCTTGTAATTAGCCACAAGTAGAAGAATAAAAAACTCCGTTAGTAGTTTATTTTGTTAAATTTTCGTTATTGTTCCGTACTAACAACACAGCTGCCCATTTCTAATAAAAGATGGCGACATTTAGCATCAAGCCAGTGCACAGAGCACCCGTCACAACTATCGATAAATCAATCAGACCGTTTTGTTGTATCTATGTTTACAATTACTCCGTTTGTGCGCACGACACATCATCGAACAAAGTATACTTTTTTGGGAAGGAAACTAAAAATTTTATTATTAATAAAATCACATGTTAAGTTTTTGTTTTTTATTTGAGTTATTAAAAAACATCAATGATTGGCGCGAATTAGTACACTATCGATAGGCGAATACGAAACTCCTCACAAGAACACCCTTACCGATATACAATAAGATATCGGGATTCAAAAGTTATTTTAAAACAATTTTACTGGCTTTTCAAAATAGCTTGAACCATCCATTATCTACCCTTTTGTACCACAATATGTTATTTAGGTAAGGTAAGGTTAAAAAAGCAACCTCAAATAGAAAATGTATAATAATAATTTTTTATACAAACGAAAAGTTGTCCATTTGAAAGGTCAATTTTGTGTAAGCAAACAATCTCTTTGTGCTAAAGGCAAAAAACACCAATGTTTTCATAATCTCGATTCTGATTCGGACTAACTAACGAATAAGCATTTTAAAATAACATATTTCATAAACAAGTGTAATAATGTACATATTTTTGGTGCTGGCATTGTAATGTCTATCAGTCCTTAAAAGTTAAATCTTGTTTTTCCTTAAACAACTTGGACATTTTTGGTTTGACAAATCCTTGTTACTTAACAGCATGCACAACTGCCACCGTAAAGTATCAATCATGGATTTGAGTAATTTCCAAGCATCCCCCGCTGCTGAAACTAATCAATTTAGTGGCCCGAAATGCTCGGCTCAAATGATCTGTTAGCGGTGGAGATGAAAGGGCGCGGACAATAGTCGAAAGTGTCCTCGTACATCAAGCGACGAAGACACGCTTCACTATGGGCCTTATTGCTTTAAAATAAGCCACACCCACGGTGCCCGAAAATCCATCTTGCACGCACATTACGAGCCCATCGATCGACCGTTAGGCAAGTGACTACATTGGACCTTTTCCACCAGGAGGATTGAGTTTTGTTTTTTTTTTTTCAGAGTTTGAGCAGCGAGGAGCAAGTGGTGAGCAACGAGGAATGAGGAACGAGCGTGCGGGCGGCCGGCGCGGCTTTGATCTTAAGGATCAGAGCGGAGTGGTGCGGTGCGGTGCGGTGCGGGGCACGCTTGTCAATTGTGGTTGGCTTCAAAAGCGGCTTACTGAACCCCATGTCCCGATACCAATACCGTTTCCAATCCCAATACCAATCGCAGTCGCAGTCGCAGTCGCTGTCCCAGTTCCCCGGGCGAATGAAGTGTGTAATTTGAAATTAGCTCAGGCTCAGCGGCACCTTTTGAGCCTGGCTGGCTGACTTGCTGCACCTGCTGATGGCAGTGCCGATGCCGATGCTGTTTCTCTGACGGCAAACTGATGGCGATGGTGGTGATGGTGATGGTGACGGTGTCAGCGGTGCGGTGCGGCTGTCCTGCGGCGGCTACTCAGTTACGCAGTCGCACCGCTGCGTCAAGGCCAGCCACCGACTTCCCCCGCAACTCACCGAACTCAGTTCAATACACAGAGAAAATGAATACAATTTTTCAAACTCTTTGTTTTTAAAAAAATATACAATTTTTTTTAAATATGTACATATTGGCATGACTGCTTTTATTAGTTGATATCAGGGCTTGTTGTTAATCAGACTTCATATATTTTTTAACGAAATTAGACAAGGATATACAGTTCTTAGCTCTATTAAAATAATCAAATATCCTTACAAGGTGAAGTATTTTAGTGAGAAGATACAGCAGAGTTAATAATTTTTATGGAATTTTACTAAATAGAAATATTAATGGCAGATAAAAAACTCTTTAATATGAAACAATTAAAAGCACATCTTTATTATTATTGTAAACATTTAGAAATGATTGGAAGACTTGTAATGTGTAATGAAATAAGTCTTATTTTCCCTTGAACATAAAGAAAATGCTTTGTTTTAAACATATAACCTATAACACCTATAGTTAATGGAGACGTATCAATTCTTTTTTCCTGTGTTAAGTTTCATTTTCGATTTCGGATCCATTCAGTAAATGAACGCCGAGGAGGAGAAGATATACGCAAATTTATGGCCGCACATATCTGTATGTACATTTATAATGTGACTAATTTGCGATCTCTTGATTTTCCAAATCCACGACTCATCCAATCTCGGCTTCAATCTTCTATGCCCAATCCAATCCGATGCCCAGTCCGCCTGCAGTGAGTGAGTGAGTGGGGGGCGCTAATCAGGTTTCTGGCCCCAAATTGATTTCATTTTCATATTTCAATTTCGAAAGACGGTAGCCGGAGCTCTGTCGAAAATGCAAAATCAGTAAGACCAGTAGTCGCGACATGATATAAATTAACTGTTTTGACTTTGTGAAATGAAATGCGGTCTCTTTGAAATTCCAATTCGAATTCAGGCAAAAATAACCTAAAGAGCCAAATCGATTTCTTACACAAAAAACTACGAGCACCGCCGAAAATCGGGGAACGAAAAAAAAAAAAAAAAAAAAAAAACAAAAACAACAACAAACACAAAACACAAAATACCATTCAAAGTGGCTCCGCTCCGCTTCGGAGTTGTTTATCTCGTTAGAGTTGCCAGCGCGCCGATTTCTTTTCGGCTTAAATGGTTTATGTGCGTTTGCAACCAGTTTTATGGACATCGCCTCCGCAGGCTGACGGAGCGGCCTGATTATATATTGATGCCGCCGCTGGATCTGTTGGATCTCGGATTGCTGGATGCTGGGATGCCAAAGCCGATGCCGATGCCGATCCGCCGCCAGACTTAAAGCCAGCTTTTCGTATTCGAGAGTTTAGGTGGGCCGTGGCCGGCGCCTTTGAAGCATCTGGTTTACCACGTGCCGTGCCACCACCACTCCATTCCACCTCCAGCCTCTTTCCCCCATCAGCATCCTCCTCATCCTCCTACTCCCAATCCTCCATCCCATCCAGCATTTGCGGGTGGAGTTGTTGGCCAAAAGAGCCAGCCAGCCAGCGTCTCAAGTTTTGATCCAATCAAAACTGCGACACACCGACCCCCATTTGAATTAATAAACAAAAAGATGTTCATAAATAAATATATATTTTATAAATGTTTATTTATATGGCTTAACAAAAAGATTCCGCAGCCAGTTTTCAAGTCGAGTAGCGATTTTAACGATTTTAATGATGTGCTCAACGTCTTATGATTTAATTATGCCGTTTGTTGTTGCCTTTATCGTTTGTTATCTTCGCCTTTTTTTGTTGTCTCCGCCTTTTATTGGTCTCAGCTAATAATATATGCCCCATATTGAAGCCGGCTCGGCTATTTATTGAGCCTTAATTATGTGCGATTTAAATTCTTAATGAATGCCGCTTTTGGCCAGCTCCGGCGGCGATCCGGCGATCAGCTCCTGTTTGGCGTAGGCGCACATGCGCCGATGATTTAAATGATAACGAATTGAGATATCTGCATAATGCCGATAATGTGCGGGTGGCAGCCGCTCAGCTGCGATGAGGAGGCGCCAGCATGACGACCCACTGGACCCACTGGACCCACTGGACCATCTTGGCTATTCGCGAAATTCCACAAATTTGGCAGAGAGCTGTGATAAAATTTGGAGTTAGACAGATCACGGAACTGCCGGCGAAGGGAGAGTGAAAATATCCCAAAGGTAAAACCGAAATTGGTTTTGGAAGATATTTATAAACGAAGTCAACTTTAAATAACCCAGATTATTATATACATATAGTCACGGTAGTAATTTCACATTCCTTTTATTAATGAATTTATCATATTTTTTTTGTTATCTTAAGTATCGTTTTAAAAGACTTTATAGAAAAGAAGGATTCCCACAAAATCTACTAATACTTTTGAGATAATCCTTTACAAACTAATTTTTGTTCAGCATTTAAATGTGAAAATAGAATATGTTTTCGGATACAGGAAATAGGTTCATAGCAAAGAGGGGCGTGGCAAATTGAAGAAATACATACGCACATATGTAGGTTGCGTTTAGTAGCTTAGAATCAAAGTCGGATCAGCGCAAATCTCTGTGATCTCTGGCGATTCCTCTCTGCCAGCGTCGCTGTCGCTACTTCTGCTCTGCCGCAGTCGGCGTCGGCGTCGCTGCCTCTGTCGCTGTCGGTTGAACACTTTGATGTCCTAATTGGTTTATTACTTTGTCGGCATCTCGAGTCTTCTTTGTGTTTCTTTTTTTCTCTCCACCTATCCAGATCGCTCTCCCTCTATTAATGTACAGAAAAAAATGTTTTATATTTTTTCCAAAATTAATTTCATTTTGGAAAAGGGATAATTATTATAAACTTTCAAAAGTCAATCAGCAAATTCATTCACAAATTATTTGTTTTCTAACGAGGTTTACAAAACTTTGCTTTACATAAATTTTAACATAATTTTCTTATTTAAAATTGAAAAAAATATCAAATCCTAGTTCAAGATGTTAGTTAACCAATCCGCTGAAAAATGTATTGCCTACATGTGGGCGAAATTATTTTAAAAAAAACACTAAACAAATTCCTAATCAAAACGTTTTTTTAATAATATACTTAATTATCCAATCCAAAAAAATCGGTTTCTAAACCTACTGAATTTTTTTTCCGTGCACTTTGTTGTTGCTGTTAAATTCTGTTTTATGCCGTTGCCTGTTTTATTTATTTCTTTATTTCCCTGGCTTTTCATGCTGCAGCCAGGGACCCGCGATACTATACAACTCCAGCGGCGAGGCGACTTTGGCCCGAAATGGAGCTTAACGAGTGAGCACGCGCACAGAACGGGACGCTGGTCGCTGCTTCCCCGAGGCCCCGAACTGAAAAACGATCTGGGCAACTCCCCAACCTCCTTTCCCCCCTCCCCCTTGCCCCTTCCCCCTCGAGAATCCACCAGGTTCCATCGAAACATTGTTGCCGCGTGTGCGCTTAATCAACATGTTGCGATATCAGCGCAATTTGTCATCTTATAAACAAC